GAGTCCCTAGAAGTGAGAATCGTGTATAATCGCCTAACCTGCCGGTAGAAGTCTTCATTGCTTGCATCAGGAAGCCTAATAGCATTCTGAAATAGTAACTTTGAGGCTGGGTCATTTGGAGTCAACCCCTCAATAGTTAGCTGTTCAGTTGTCTTCTTTTCTATAAAGAACTGTCGCGTCACAATCTCATAGAGAGACTGCAGAACATTCACCACCCGCGCATTATCTGCTTTCTCTTCATTCACCAGCCCGACCAACTTTTGTAGTGTTTCGTAAATCTTTGGCAGAAGGTCCACTCTAAAGGTCTTGGTGAACTGCTCTGTCGTAATTGAAAGCTCAATCATTTGAATGAAAACCATAACTATGGAATGTTCTTCAGTGTCAACTTTGATGATTGAAAGCAAAAGATGTTTGATGCTGTCATATGCCTCAACTACAGCACAACGCCTGTACTCATGCTTACATATTTTGTGCCACAGCCATTTATCAGGAGCGTCAACCAGCTCTTTGGCCTGGCTCAGGGCAAGCAAGAGCTCATTGCACAACAAGAAACATGGCCAACGAATAACCCGCACATTCCAGGAATTCTTTGGCAGCTCCAGCAGCTCTACTTCTCGATCAGAAACTATATCCTCTTCTCTGAAAGCTAAGATTATCTCATTCCAGATCAATGCAAACTTGTTGGCTTCGACCTGATTAGACTCGAGTTTCTTAAACGGCCGCCCAAATCCATACCTTAGCTTTAATCTGCATACAAACACAAACTCAAGCTTAGTACAAACTTGAAAAGTTGAGTTAAATGCAGAGAATCTGCATTAACAAAACTGTAAGTTTCACAGCTTGTACCGTCAAGTCAAGCACTGTACAGTAAATTATAAAGGAATATCAGTAGTATGCTTCCACAAACTGACCTGTGAATACCGTCTTTAAACTTGTTACCAAAGCCTCTGGCATTCAAGAGTTGTTCCTCAGGCATTAGGTTGAACTGAATAGCGCTAGCAAAGAACTGAAATCTCAACCTAAGCTGTCCCATGTCCCTGATCTCCCCCAGATGATCAAACAGCCCGACAAAAGCACCAACAATCGAAGAATAGATTGCGTACCAGATTTGGATATCCATCAGGTATATCAACACAACTGGCAACCATAACAATGCGACAGAAAACCTGTTGCTCTTGCCAAAAAACTGGTGCCACTCATATTCTATATCCTTTAAGTTCCATAGCAGCTTCGAGGGTTTAATCATTGGCTTAACCTGCAGATAGTAGCTAAATGTGAACTTTGTTGCTAGGACAAAGATCCAGAAAGTCGAGTACTTGATGTTGTCCACTAAACCCTCTCTCAAACCTCGACCCACAAAGCTTTTGCCTTGAAACCACCAAGTTAAAGCAAAGAATATTTTCCAATTGCTCTCTTCCAGAAAGTTTCTAATCCATGGGATTATAAACAGAGCTAAAGCCAGAATTTCAGGCACCAAGAAGACCGCCACAGCGTAGAGGAATTGATAGATCTTGTTCGTTGCTGCATTGGACCACTGCCTATCTTGCCTCTTCTGCTTCCAGATGTTAATGTAGAGCACAATAAAAGCTACTATCCAAACTGCGGCAGCTACAACCTTCATCACCATTCTGAAAAATAGCCGTTTGGTCTCTCTGGAAACGAGGGGCCGCTGTGAAAGACCGTCCAGCACAGCCTGCAGGAGTCGCATACCACTCCAGGTCAAGAACACAGTCAGCAGTCTCACCTGAACATCTCTTGCCTTCAAGGCATTCCACAGCTGCCCTGTCACTGACCCTGTCTCTGGCTTTTCCTCCCAAGCTACTATAATGGCGGCTTGAAGGAACAAAGCAAGCATCACCCAAAGCCGATCAAAGCTCCTGTAGAGGTAGAAGAAGGTCCTCCGCTCCACGAAACCAGTCTTCCCAACGCTTTTGCCTCTACTCTTGAAGAAATTGCTTCCCACATCGAGCGGCCACTTCAATTTGCTGAAGCATCGATCCGTCCAGAAGTACTCGTTGATATCGTCGTAGTTCCTCCAATGGCAATGCGCCTTTGTCCCGTTGTGGCTCTCATCAATCTCAGCTTGGATTGTGTCGTAAATGGGTTTAACGACGCCGTTTAAGAAAGCGTTTTCACCTGAAAGAGAAGGCAGATAGGGTTGGCCGGTGTTCTCGTCGAGGCAGTCCTCCAGGATTTTGTTGAGCTCCGACGCCATGTTGTGGAAGATGTAGCAAATGCATTCAGGCATGAACCGAAGGTTCGCCGCTTCCCCCCAAATGAGGAGATAGAGCCCAACATAGAGCAGCTCGCGCCTCGAATCAGGGTTCCGATCTGAGATCCAAATGTTTGATTTCTTCCCCAGATACGAGCACCAGCTGGAGTAGTTAGCGAGGAGTTTCCGCCGAAACCGACGGACAACGGTGGATTCAAGAGAGTCGATGTTATCCGGCGGCGGCGTGAGACGCATCTGAGCATTCGCGAGATGAAGCACCATATGCTCGCGCTGGTTGCGAACGTTGTCCTTCTGGAAACCGAAGAACAAGGCGAGCCAGTCGAGGAGGTCGTAGTGAGAGCGCCATTGAACGTACGGCGGACGGCGAAGGTCTCCGACGGTTTTAAGAGCTGCGGCGGCGGCACGAACCTCGGGAAAACGAAGAGAAGGATGGTCGGCGAGGAGATTGTTGACGGGAATTATATTGTAGGGTTCCTCTTCGATTCCGGCAGCATCCGCCGCCAACGGCCGCCCGGTTTGCGACGGGACGGTGCGGTGGCGGAGGCTCATAGTAGCATGTGGTTAGATCTTGGAGATTCCTCGGAGAAAAAGTTTGACTGAATCAAACAATGGAGAATCGAAACGGTGCGATATTTCTTTTCTAGCTGAAAACGGCGACAACGACAACGACGAACGAGACGATTTGGCCTCCTTTCCGCGTTTCAGTTTCTCCTTTCTTTCTCTTCTTTTCTGGCTTTATTTTGTAATAATTTTTTGAATTTAATTCAAAATTTTGCCAGAAAGAAAAAGGAGAAAATTCAAATTTCTTCCAGATCCTTTGACCTTATATGAATCATTACCTTTAAAAATACTAATGATAAAATAAAGTTTAATATAGTATTTGATTGAAGAAATTTATTTTTTCATAAACTGTTTATGATTATTAGTAATTATGTGTCTAAAATTTGGATATTCAACAATTTTTCTAGATTGTTATCCAAATTGGACAGAAATTACTTGTTTGTGCTTCTTCTTTTTTGTCAAATAACTTTCTTCTGCTTAATTTACTTGGCAAATGTTGATTTTTGGAGAATACATTTTAAGTTTAAATGCTTAGGAAAGTTCTTTGTATCTTCAACCTCTCTCGTTTCTTACTATGTAAGTTATAAGAAAAAATAGTCAGCATAAACAGAAAAGACATTGATGCATTAGAAATCTGACATAATTCATATCTTGGATCCGAATATCTGAGCTTTTGGAATATATTTTTTTTGTGCTTTACAGATTGGAATGTATTAATAGAATAAAACTAAATTTGTTGATCGTTAGACGTTAACTTGTCGTTTATAATATAAAAATTCATAAATAACAAAAGATCCATTAACATCAATTTCTGAAACTGAATGGTTATGGTGAAAAATATGAAGAATCGTTCTACAGCTTCTTTTTTTTGGTATGAAATCATTCTACAACTTTTGCTATCATACCGTTCCATTTGTTCATACAACAAATCATGCATGCACTAAAATGTTGTAACACTCGGTTTCAGTTTGGTTTTTGCCTTGTTCCTTAGCTTCTTTCTTTATACAAGATGTTGATGATGATTAAAAATTTAAACAATATAGCAAAGTATCAACAGGATAACCTTACGATACGAAGATCTTCCCCTTAAGTTCAAATTCCAACTCCAAAATTTAAACATTCGAAAACAAGGTTTTAGTATGCTTTTATTGACTTGTTTGTTTTAGGGTTTGACTAACATGATACCAAGAAGAACAATCAACGAAAATTTTACCTTCTTCATATAATAAATATTGGGCCAAGCATTGTTGTTATTTTAGCTTATTTTGACGATACAAGTGGAGCGCTTTATATCAAAAACAAGAACACACATGGGACCTCCATACTCTTTCCCCATTACCCTCTCCTTCTCCATTTTATAGTAATGTTTTTCATTAAAAGGTTTGAATGTTAGTTACTAATCCACCCTTTATAAAAAAATGTTAACATTAAAAAAAAAAAAAAAAAAAAACCCTTTATAAAAAAAAAATGTTAGTTACTAATCGGATGCAAACAAAAAACTAAACTGTTTATAATATTTTGAGAAACTAATTCTGAATCATGACAAGTCCAACGACCACGTACGCAAGTATTAGGGGAAAAAATCAAGTGAGTCTAGTCATCCCCTATTTAACATAAAAGATATATAAATTTGGTTTATTATAATTTTCTCCTGTGACTATAAGTTACTAATATTGTATCGTTAAAAAGTAGACATGTGGGATTATAATCCATAAGATGGAATCTTCCTTTTGTTCTGACACACCAAATGGTCTCATGTGCTTCACAAAGCATTATAAAAAGAATCTCGCGCGAATGATGCAGAGCAACATTTACGTTAATTTGCCGATCATGGAAATATACCGGTGGAGATATACACACAAAACAATATGCCCCCACATAGATCTATCGATCTACATTCGCCGGTCTAATATGTATATTCAGCCAAGTCCTCTTGTGGTTCTTAAAATAACATAATACTAGTACAGAACAAATCAACACAATACACAAATTAAAAAGGAAATTTTAATATATATAAGAAAACAATACTATGAAAATATCGAAACATAAAAAAAGACAAAACATATCTATATGTAAGTAGCACAATACACAACTTACGGCTTGCATCGATACTGAGCAAAGTTTGTGTTTGTGTAATTGTGTGTCTATATATATATGAGACTTGAACTAATTAACTGATATTGAAAAGCGAGAACAAAAGTTAGATTCAAGATTTCTGGAGAAGAAAAGGATCAAGGACAGAGTGGAGAGAGTATAAGAGTAAGAAGACGTAGAGGACGAGTGCTACGAAACCGGCGATTAGAGCTCCGGTGATCTGATCGCAGAACTTTGGAACTTGGCCACAAATTGGAAGCCAACCTGCGTTTGCGTTTCCTTTCTTTCCCACTTGCGCCACCGCTAATGCCGCCGATAAACTTGACGTGAGCAGCATTGTCATCACCTTCATCAACGGTTATTGATAAAATTTAGTATAATTAGCAATTAAAAATGCCTTATAATTTTGAGCTAATCTTCACCTAACAAACGTTTAAAGAGACAAGTACTAATACAGTACATGTATACACTCAGATTTCTTATATCTTTATACCCAACCGTTGATTATTATTCCTCTAAACACAAATCAACATCAAATTATTCAATGAAAATGTTGATTTTGACAACTAATCTACATTATGCCGTCGGTTTGTGTTATATTTGCAGTTTTTGTTCCTAACACGTCCTCGCATTAAATTATCCTGCCAGTATTTTGACAATATTATTTATAGAACCGAAATTTTTGAACTTTGAATACACAAGTTTTTAAGTAGTCTTGTCTCAGATGATATTTCAAATTATCCGTAACATCATTTAAATGGATCAAAACGATAGAAAAAACTATCAGAAATCTGCAAAAACAATTGTGAAAGTTTTAACCCTTTTTCCAAAAACAAATAAAAAAACTTGTGATAGTTTCTCCACAGAAATTTTTAATTTTATTGCAACTCTGTTGAAAATATACAGTTTCATGTTGTGTATATGCGATGAAATTTCAATAAATTATTCAGGTAAACCAGTTCTCAATACCACAAATTAACTAGATATTAAGAACATCACTTTTTTTTTTAACTATGAGTCTATGATAGAGTATGATAGCTTAGAAGAAGTAGTATGAAAATGGAAAAATTAACGTAAAAAGCTAACACAAAAATATGAAATGTTAGTTGTTACCAAATCTAAAACGACGACGAACTTCCACAGCAAACTCTCCTTTGGAAGAAACAGAACTATAAAGCTATAAACACTCACGACAGCGTTTGCGATCACAAAGTACCTGCAAAACATATTTTATCCAATTATTGCATATTCACATAACTCATAAGATGAATAATTTACATAATTACATATGTATATGTACGTAATGCATCTAACTCACACAAACACAAAATACTGTAAGTAGAAAATATATACGTACTTAAACGCTGCCATATCAGTGTATTTAGCTTCAAAAGAGATGGCGAAGAAGGAGGCTCTCTCGCGGCTAGTGACCATAACGATTAAAGCGGCCAGAGCCGCCCCAAACGCTGCTATTCGCAGCACAAGCCCTCCTATTCTCTTTGTCAACTTCACCATCAGTCAGAATTTAGTTTTCAAATTTTTTTTATGGAACAGAAAAAAACATATACATGAAGAGAAGACACACAAACACATGAGCTCATGGAAATTTATTAATTGGTAATCAACAGTATATATATACTATTAATTGAGTGGGACGTGTTGTTATAGTTGAGATTTTTCAACTATATTCACCGTCATCGTCCGATTTTCAACACACGACTTATTTATTTATTTTATAGAATGATCTGACGTGGGAGTTCCAAAATTAGTGATTAGTGATTTTTCTATTATTTATTTGGTACGTATAGTAAATAAAATACAGTATAGTATTTGGGGATTCTCACGTACGTCAGATCATTCAATAAATATAATAAAATAATATTGAGCTTTTTAATGGGATTTTAGGCTTTGAAACTAACAATTGAGAAAAGAATCATAAAACTTTTGGTCAGCAAAATGTTGTGTATAAACTGAAATTTGGTATAGGATAATACATTTTAGAGGTTACGTGGCTTATCAACCGAGACAACAGTTGATTAAAAAAAATTCAATGTAAAAAAAATGATACAATCATTATTCATTACAAACAATATGTTAAGACTTGATGTGAAAATATGTATGAGGAAATAGTAAAAACAAATTATTGACCAAAAACTATTGCTTTTACGATTAATGACATCACAGAATAAACAAATATCATTTTTTCAGTGAGCCGTTGTCCTAACTTAGGTGTATCTTTGGTGTTTTTGTCTGGTGGGCTAGTATTAAAGTTGACATTTTTAATATAAAATCTAGTATATTGATAGGTTATATCAGCTTTTAGTTAACAGTATCTTGACAAATTTATAAAAACAGTGTATCTATCATCTACGTACAGAAAGTCGTTTTAGTAACAAAAAAGAAATTAACATTTAATATGAATCTTGGTTCCTCCCAACTATCGGTCTAACATTGCTTTCAATGGCAAAAGTAACTGAAAAAGCAAAATAGAGTTTTGATGTATGACTTCAATGAGTTTAATTTAATCGAAAGATAATTGTGTCTTTGTAGTGGGTGACCTATTTATACGGTTTCCATGATCTGGAAACAAAATAGAAAGAGAACATTCCCCTACGTTTAGAAATGGAACCCAATTATAGAAACTGGCCAAGAACTAGTTGTTATTATGTGTGTTTTCACTATTATTTGCTTAAACCATTAAATGTCCACCAATTACCAAGATTCAGCTGTCACGACGGCTGAGAGGATACAATCATACAAATATATGAAGATCATGAGCAAGCGTATTAACAACACAAAGAGGTGTAGATAAATTGTATGCGGATTAAGAATGCCAATTGATAACTCAAGAGCAAAACAAAAATCAAAATGTGTTAAGACCACACCTTTATAAACATGTTAGGGATATTTTTTAATTCATGTTTTTATACATAAAACGAGTTTGGCTGGTAAGTCTACAATAGTTTACTCAATTAAAAGGTAGTTTGTTCCGAAAAATTAAAATAAAATGCATTACTAATTTACCACTAACATGTTCTATTTCACTTTTCACTTCAGGTTTTGTCGAGTCGATATGTAAATGGGCTAAAGTTTCATACACGGCCCATAAAGTATATTTCCAAATATTTCTGGGCTTATATAATGTTAGTCTACAGCACGTAAAATACGTATCAAGCGTAATTACTGAAAATAAATGCGTTTTTCTGTATTTTATCTCCGAGTTTTATTTTCCTCAAATGCAAACGTATGATAATTTGTTTTTAGTAGAAAATAAAACAATTTAAAGAAAGCACATAAAATAAAAATATCTGGCTTCAGTTTCTACTTGCACACTTTCTCTTCCATAGTTTCGTTATCTTTTTTTATTTCTCTTTCATTTCTTATCTGGATATTATTTTACACTTGGGATTAGGAGGATCTCTCGTGCTTCTCCGCTTCTCTCTCACCAATGGCTGCTTTCACTTGTACCTCTCGTCCTCCGGTTTCTCTCCGCTCAGAGACGAGAATCGCATCCTCACCATCAGCTTCTCTCTCTGCTCGGCGGATGTTCGCCGTCTTACCGGAATCGGGTGGATTGCGAGTCCGTCTTTCTCTCTCTCCGGCGTCGTTGACCTCGATTAATCCTAGGGTTTCTCGACTACGAAGAGGTGTCGTCTGTGAAGCTCAGGAGACTACTACGGATAGTATGTTCTAACCTCCTCTCTGCTATACCTTCATTGTTTCGATTTCGTTTGATTTCCTTCGTTCTGTGTATCTTCTGGGCTTGATTCGTGTTAGTTGATCGATTTTAGTAGTGAATTATGAACTGATTTCGTTTCGACGATTGATACTTGTGTAGAAATTGGAACTAGGATGCTCGAATTTTATGCTGTTGAACGCATTTGCTTAGAAAAATCTTTGTAATTAGTTCAAAATTACTGAATCTGGGAAGAAGAGTTTCTTTGGGAGAGTATACGTTTTTGAGAAAATTCCTGCTGAAAATGAGGTTTCGGTTAGAGTAACGACGATTCATGCCATTTGCGTGAAATGTGAAGAAAGTTGCATTTTAGGATCTCTTCTCTTAGTGCCTATTCTCTTTCACGTTTTTAATTAGAAGAACCTAGAAAATGTGGTATACCTACTCAGATATCTTCTTGATTGGATCACAAAAAAAAAAACATTTGGGACAAGAAAGTGTTGAATTAATTGGCTCATGAGAGAGCAATGAGGATTTTGTGTGCTTTAAAGTATAACATTTCTTGATTCTAAGATCTATACATATATAGGTTATCAGTAGTATTGCTTTTATAAGACAATAGACAAGTAAGTCCTTTTCCAATGATAATGTGTGCAGTGAGATTAGCAAAATGTCTCTCTGCTCCATTTTACTCATTGACACCACTGAAGAACATGAAAACATTATCCTTCACTTGGACTGCTTTTTTAAATCACACACAAATCTTGGTTGCATTTTAGGATCTCTTCTCTTAGTGGTTATTCTCTTTCACGTTTTTAAGTAGAAGAACCTAGAAAATGTGGTATACCTACTCTGATATCTTCTTGATTAATATTGGGACAAGAAAAAAAAACATTTGGGACAAGAAAGTGTTGAATTAATATTGGCTCATGAGAGAGCAATGAGGATTTTGTGTGCTTCAAAGATTTTAGGATCTATTCATGAAGATCACTATATAGGTTATCAATAGTATTTGCTTTTATAAGACAATAGACAAGTAAGTCCTTTTCCAATGATAATGTGTTCAGTGAGATTAGCAAAATGTTTCTCTGCTTCATTTTTTTCATTGACACGACTGAAGAACATTAAACATTATCCTTCACTTGGACTGCTTTTGAAATCACACAAACTTCATTCTATTTGCGCTTCATTTGTGTGTGCAACCAGTACTCTGTAACTCCATTATCAAATTTATGTTCATAGAAACTTTCACTTCTTTATTGAGATCATATAGTATTAGTTTCATGAGATCATATACCCATATATGAACAAAGATGGATGAATGGTTCAGCTGTCTCTCTGGTTCATTCATGATTCTAAAAGGCTAATAAGTTGTTGATTTTGCTTTTTTTTTTTTTGATATCATAGTAGTTTCAGTAGTCAACGACACGACGTGGGAATCTCTAGTTCTCAAGGCAGACGGGCCAGTACTGGTCGACTTTTGGGCACCGTGGTGTGGACCATGCAAAATGATTGACCCGCTCGTGAACGAGCTAGCGCAACAGTACACAGGGAAGGTCAAGTTCTACAAGCTAAACACCGACGAGTCTCCTTCAACACCGAGCCAGTACAATGTTAGAAGCATCCCAACGATCATGATCTTTGTCAAAGGCGAGAAGAAGGATGCAATCATAGGTGCAGTGCCCAAAATCACACTCACTAATAGCATCGACAAATTCTTGCAATGAGACTTCACTGCAAGTCTGTAAGCTCTCTCTCCCTCTATCTCTCTCATTCTCATTCTCATTCTCTCTGTAACTGCGCTTTCTTTATAGCTATCTGTTTCTTCTATTGTAACTTTCTTCATCACTGAACATCTGGACCTGGATAAATAATATGATGTCATGTTCTTTTATCTTATTTCTACCGACATTTTCTCCGTTAAAGACATTTCAGATCGATCTCTTTACTAATGGAACCGCATGAAAAAAACAGTAATTGATGGAATCTCTTTTAGGTCATGAGAGAGAGAGAGAGAGAGCTTAAGATTATTCGGTTCTGCAACTTTTTTGATGGACACAAGCTAAGGTTTTGTTTGCCAAATATTCTAAAACTCGTCGTATTGAAGATTATATTCTTTTATACTCTTTAGTGAGCGCATTTACGTAAAGGGGCTAAAGGTATAAAGTTTAAAACATGTTTTAAAGAAAGCTAATTTAAAATTGAGAAAGGTCTTCATCGATCCACGAGCAATGGAGATGAGTAGATGACGTTTGAATTTTCACAAGCAAAAAGAAATTCACCATAGTTTATTAGTGTAATGGAGATGAGTAGATGACGTTTGAATTTTCACAAGCAAAAAGAAATTCACCATAGTTTATTAGTGTAGTGGATTTATGGATAAGGGAGGATACGTCAATCAGTGACAAAATGAATGAAAGCTGAAAACAAATGGGTTTCTTGGACTGATCCCCCACAGTAGGACAAGGTTTTGGGTTTTTTATCCTGACACAAAATCCGAACCAAACCAAACTATGATCATATAATCAATACAAGAAATGTGTTTTTTTTTTTTTTTTTTTTTTTTACCAAAGTACAAGAAATGTGTTTGTTGACAAGAAAACAAAAACTCAAAAACCTTTCCGTAGCAAACTCATTTAGGGTCAAGAATCTTTCAGCAGAAAAACCAAAATCCCAAAAGCCAAAGAAAAAATAATGAAACTAATCCGAAAAATCCGATTATTAAACCTTATCTGTAATGTAATGTGTTTTGTGTTGCCGTCCACTATATCATATGTAACGTTTATTGAGACATGATAAACATATATTTACGTCGAAGATAAGGTCAAAAGAAGGGAACACGTCAACGTCCTAACCCTCTCGATTTTATAATATTATCACATTGTCTTGATAAATGCTTTTGCATGACCTTTTGTTTGTATAAACTTTTGGCGAGCTTACAAGTCGCAACATATACAAATGGAACAAAGGCACAATGACCTAAACTAGAACAAGTGTGAAATATTGAAACAAGGCAAGTCAATATCGGACAGCTTCGTTAAACCTACCCCACTTTAGGTTCTTGTATTGTTTGATAAGGCACACTTACATACGAAGACTTTCGTGATGTTTTAAAATTAACAAGCGGACAATCTTTTAATCATTTGATTTTGAGTGTCGGCCATATTCTCCTACCAAACATGCTGCAGCTTGATTAGATGATTATAAAACAATAAAAACGATAGATATGTTTCAGACAGTCGATTTAATTAGAATAAACACGAATAATTAACGATGAATGTGTTATTATCCTTATGAAATAAATAACATGCATATAATTATATACGATTCAAAAATATTGACAACCATCCAAAAGGAAAACGAGTTGTTGAAACGGATGATCTTCTCGTTGACTAATTAATGACTACTTTGAGTGGTGTGGAGTGTGTAGAATTCGATTGTAAATAATGTGATATCATCGTTATCAATTTGATATAGCAACACTATTTTGTTGTCAGCAACAAAAATCAATACATTCGCTGATGATAGCATAATAATATGATCCCTAATAATATCTAATACAAAATATAAGATTCGCCGGCATAGCAATAGGCTTAACAATCTGTTTTATAAGATTGCATATTATTCTTTATGGGTTTTACGTGTTGAAAGAGTTACGACTTCTGATATTTTGATTGGTATGTACTAATCTTCAGAAATAATTAATGGGTATCAGATACTTATTATGAATTCAAACCAATCACACCAATTACAATGATACAACAAATTCCCACAAATAAATTGTTTTGTGCCTAACCAGTTGGCTTCTAAGTTGTAGTTAATTAAACAAAACAGTTGTAGAATACAAAAATACTACAACGAAAAGGAAAGGCCCACAAAGCAAAACAACGTGTCTCGTGAGGTTGTTACATGAGAATCATCGTTAGTTGTGAAGATTGCCAAGCGTGAAGAGAGCCATCTTCGACCTCTCTCATACGTCCTTTTCTCTCTTCATTCTACCCAGTCATCGTCTTCCACCGTTTCTTCAGAATTTTATTGATATTATAATCACACATATATCTATATTTAATGTCAAGAATGATTATAGTAATAATTTGTTAAGTTTAACCCACCAAAAATATATAAATTTGAGTTTGTTTCAACGATCGATGATCTGTCTGTTTTTTAGTATTTTTTTCCATTGTGAATTCGAGATATATAACTCCGACGATCGTATCTAGCCAGCATTCACAATTATTTTTGACTTGTTATAAGATTCATCATGTACAATTTTTTCTTTCTATATGTGCATAACATTTATAATGAAAGGAAATTGTTTGGTGAAATGCACCTAGAAAGAAGCATTTGGACACTTGTGCGTTGTGCCACGACCGTTACATACACATAAGGAAGGGATAACATTATCCAACCTTTACAAAAAATTGAATGTTCGTCTTTATCCATCTGAACAAATGATATCTTGCTATTCACCAAAAAAAGAAAAAGATCTTGCTAATTATAATAGTACAATCTGAAGTTTCTGTTAAAATATCTTTAAGTTACATCAGTCTATCATTTTTGTGGTTAAAATTATGGGTTAAATCTGGATAGTGACAAGATGTTGGTGAATGGTGAAACTGACTACCATAGGCCGATTAAACCATAACGGCATGACATTATTAAGCACATGGATTTTCACTTTCTGATAGTCCGAGTTTATCATCAAAGAAAAGGAAACGAAGATATTTATATGGTTTAACACTTTAACTAAAGAAGAAGAAGATATACATATGGTTAGAGTTATCTTAAAATCCTACAATATATTAAAGACCATACAGTTTTGCTGACATGTCAAACTCTTCTTTTTTGGAGTATTTTTGATTTTTTTTTAATTAAATTATTTAATTGCAAAACGGATAAACACGCGGATCCGTCGCCGGGTCGGGTCACTCATTTATATTCTAAAATTGCTTTTCCGAAACTAGATCAAAAAAGCCTTTCCTAAAATCTGTATGCAAGACACACATAATATAGCCCATTATGATATAAATGCGAACGAATATATGATTTTTTAATAACAATATTGCTTTACATATTCGTCGCGATTGTAATCTTCGTCAAACATATACTTTTTGACTCTCAAAACATATACTACAATGGAAACATTTTAATGACTGTGTTATTTTATTCCCATATGCTCCCAAAATAAATAAATATTAAAAGCATAATACCTATCTTTGGAATGTATAAGAAACTATGTACATCTAATTAAGTAAACAATCTTTATCGTTATATTTTCAAAATCTAAATTAAAAATTCTTATGAACAATTTAACAATTAGAGAAATTAAAATAGACGGTCAAACAAGAAATTTTCCTTTAAAGATTTCCGGACAAGATTGCTGTTCAAGCTAAACGATAAATTTTAATATTAAATATTCTCAATTAACTTCAACTTTGTAACACTATAAATATACACCCAACCCATATAGACACAATTATTTTTTCAGCTTCTATATTTTGTTTTTTATGATTCTAGCTTTCATCATTGCTCTCGAGATTATTTTTCAGTTTTTATATTTTGTTTTCTATGATTCTAGCTTTCATTGTTCTCGAGTTGCTTATGTTTCCTGTGTAAACTGAATTTTCCTACTCATCTTAGTTTTATTCTTTTTTTCTAAAAGCAGGTCATTCAAGTGAAACTGTGAGGACTCTGTAAACAACATGTGGGAAGAGGTACGTACACTATTTGTTTTAAATATGTCCGATTGTTTACGTCAGAAATATGTTATGTTTAAGTTTATGATTTTGATTATGACTTAATTTTCATGCAGATTATTTAACAGGTGATAGAGTTTCTGAAACCATTGATGACAAGGAATAGATCCATGAGCAACAACTAAAAAATGAAATAATTTCTTAATAAATTTCTTCAAGTATTATTCAAATATCATACAATTAATATTTTTGTGAACATATATTCCGAAGAAATACGAAACTCATCGATGATCATTATTCCAACATGTTTTTTCAGCCAAAACTATATATATGATAAACATACACATAAAATATTTGATCTTTATTTATTTATTTTTTTTGCTAAGAATATAAATATCATATTAATATGAAAGTTTTAGGTTTTACACGGATGTGTCATCTATGAATTGGTTCCATGGCAAAAAAAGAATAAAAACATGGAAGCAAAGAACTAAACTGAATTCGGTCCATCGACATTTATGGCGGAAAATTACAGAAATTTTATAAATCACATTTATGGCGGAAAATTTGTTGATCGGATTTTGTTTGACAGGAACATTGCGGAATAGTTTGACTTAGAAATTGTTTTATAAAAATTTGGAAATAACTTTTCAAGTTTAAATTTATTTTCTGGAAATTTACAAACTTAAATTTGGGTGAAAATTAGCAGAATTATATTTTGCATTAAAACGTAATTTTTTTCTATACATGTATTTTAAGTGTAATATGTAGTGGATATTGCTATTTGCTTCCTAAATATAAATTTTAAAGGAGGTTTACATTAGTAAAGGTCCTTTAGATTTAGTTAAATTATAATCTTTTGAACAAATCACATAATTAATTATTTTAAAAATAGGAAACAACTTACATATAATAATACATAAATAAATAACCAAATATCTATCCATTATTCCAAAACAAAAAAACTACAATATTAATAATCAAGACAATATGCTTATTATTATATTAAAAATATTTATATGGACTGATAAAGAAACAAAATATATATTAATCTAAAAATAATAGAAAAAATAACATATCCATCCAATAATAATTTATTTTAAATATGAAAATTTTAAAAGTTTACTCAATCCGACGCATTAGGCGTGGGTAATCCCCTAGTAAACAAATTAAAAACACCGGCGAATCTTTTATCTTTCACATCGCCACGTCATCAGGATATCATTGCGTTCTCGAATTCGATGCGTAAATAATAATATTTTTTATTCATTTATCCTAATAAAATCTTACTGTATAAATGGAATCACTTTCTTCATTTCATTGCTGCTTCTCGCTTCTACAAAACCCAGATTTCTCTCTCTATCTCTCCAAAATTTGTCGCAAAACGCTCTTCCCTCTCCGTTTCTCTCTCCTTCCTCAGCTCAATCTCTGCTCAATTACAGTCTTCGATACAGTGATTAGGGCTTCCCTCAAACGCCGCCGATTGTCTGGTTAATCTCTCTCTCTCTCTCTCTCTGACTCTCTCTTCCTGGTTCATATATTCGCGCGTTTGCGTTTGCGTGGTTACACACAGACTATTTACTAATTCACCGGCGATTTCTCCGTCTTTTGATTTAATTAGATTTGAATTGCTGTTGAACTTTCTCTGTATGCCATGAGTTTGACTCTCTGCTTCTACCGAGTTTTCAGATTATTCTCTTTCTTTGTTGCGAGAAATTGATCGAATTTGTTGTTTTGCTCAGCTAAGCTTTATACAACGATGATTAAATATCGTGAGAATCGGTTACGAGTTTCTCGGAAGATTCTTAAACCCCTGCCCGTGTTAAATCCTGGGTTTTTTTTCTCTAAATTTTAATCGGTTTTTTCAAAATTCAGTCTTTTGGGATTTAGGATGATTTTAGATTTTCAAATTTCTCACGTTTCTGAATAACCTAATTCTCACCACATCTGGACGAAAAATAGGCTATCTTTGTGTGATTCACTTGTAAATCTGATTCATCACCATGTTATTTAACAACTTGCAGCAGACTTTTGATTTTGACAAGTTAAAATATTTTTGCAGACTTTTGAGACCAAATGGCATTGGACCAATATTTTGAAGATGCTGCTGTACCAGGAGAACTCTATGGAGAAGGAGCATTTTGTTTCAAGAAGACGAAACCAGAAGAAACCATCTCAGTCTCGGTTCCTTCCGATGACACAGACGATTCGAATTTCGACTGCAACATCTGCCTAGACTCGGTGCAAGAACCGGTTGTGACTCTCTGTGGCCACCTCTTTTGCTGGCCCTGCATCCACAAATGGCTTGATGTACAGAGTGATGAATACCAAAGACATAGAGAGTGTCCTGTTTGTAAATCCAAAGTGTCTCACTCTACATTAGTTCCTTTATACGGCCGTGGCCGTTGCGATAATACTCAGGAGAAAGGTAAAAGCAGTAGTGTGCCTAGAAGACCAGTAGGACCGGTTTACCGGATTGAGATGCCGAATTCGAGTAGTAGTACCGATCTCCGGTTATCGCAACGGGTTCATTTCAATAACCGGGAGGAAGGTTACTACCCTGTCTCAGGGGTGTTGAGTCCGAGCAGTTTGTCTTACTCTGCGGTTCTTGATCCGGTGATGGTGATGGTTGGAGAAATGGTGGCTACGAGGTTGTTTGGAACACGAGTGATGGATAGGTTTGCGTATCCGGACACTTACAATCTTGCGGGGACAAGCGGGCCGAGGATGAGAAGACGGATAATGCAGGCGGATGAATCAATGGGAAGAATCTTCTTCTTTTTTACATGTTGTGTGACACTGTGTCTTCTCTTGTTTTAGAGTTCTCGTCACTAGCTTTGTCCCTGTTGTACACTTTGTTTAAGTGTAAAGGTAACATAGACGAAAGAAATGTACATTTTGTGTTAGAAAACAAACCAAAGTTTGCTTAAATGTTCAGAGGTTTTGTTGGTGGCCTCTAGATGAAAGGCCTGATTTGATATTATGATTTAAAAGGAAAAATTCACAATACAGCTCAAAAACATGTGGCAGAGATTCCTTCTATGTGATATATCTTCCTCAATGTGTCACATGCCAGTGTTTGTCAGCTGATGATGTTTATGCTTTGAAAGATTATTACTCTGTCTCAGGAATGCTTGCTTAGTTCAAACGGTTTCTCATACTTTATGGTTCTTGATTCAGTGATGGTGTTGTTTGGAGGATGGTATCTACGAAGGTTGTTTGTATTCTGTTGTTTTAGACTTTCTCGTCATTAGCTTGGTGCTACTGATACTTTTTTAAGAGTGAGGAAACATAGGTCAGTTGTGTTAGAAACAAGGGTCGAAGTTGCGTACGTTTCAAGGTATTTGTGTTGGCCTTTTGGACTTGTATGGACTTTGGTCTGGGAGATATGGTGCCGCTTACATGAATGGCCGGGGGCTAATGGGCCTACTTTAATAAGTCATTGCATTTTCAATAAACTCATTTGCCCATTTCCATGTGGGAATGAGGAGGACTTTCTTACTCTTCCCGAGTAGAAAAATTCAACGAAATGGTTTTAAATCATTGTTTACCTGGCTCCAAGTTTCCAACCCTGAGGCATACTTGGGATTAAAGATAGACAATCCCTCTGTTTCTGCATTGACTTTGATTATACAACCACAATGATCTCTCTGCACGAACAAGGGGTACATCAAAGAAGTTATGTAATGGACGAGTATAGATTCTCTCATTCGTCAAGCTCCAGCAACTCATCTTGCATTTCCGCTTGGGTAAGCCGTAAGCCTCTCTCCCTTTTCGCTCTCTTCTTGGTATGGTTGACTATTTTTTTTTTCGTTCGGGGGACCTAAAACTTTGTTTTCAAACAGTTTGTGGAATAATTTAAGTTTGAGATGGACAGTTCTGAAGCAGGTCTAGATAGAATTGAGGCACAAAGAACAACATATGTGCCTCATAACCAATTAAGACAAAGATCCTTCCCCATGAATCTAATAAACAACAGCCTTCGCTCCCTCAGTTCACGAGGTTCCCTTGACGCCGGAGGAGAATTCATGACAACAGCTGTGGGAGACACAGAGCTTGTGCCGGAGTTCTTTACCAATCTCAGACTGTCGGATATTTTCAACCTCCCTGGTGAATATGTGATGATGAATGCTAAGCTGTTTGGCGCACTGAGTGATGGGATCCAAGAATGGCTGGAAATATTGAGAAGCCAGGGAACGCCAATGGAATGTCTCAAGAGCCATCGTGGAGATTCTGTTCTTCACCTTGTCGCGACTTGGGGTCATCTTGAAGGTGTGAAGACCATTATCTCCGAATGCGCATCTCTTCTATTGGAGCCAAATTGGAATGGTCAGCTTCCACTTCATGTGGCGGCTCATGGCGGACATTTAGCTATTGTTGAGGCTCTTGTTGCCTTGATAACATTTGTTATAGTTGAACTGTGTGTAGAAGAGAGGGAGAGACAGAGAATGAATCTATATTTTGTGAAGGATATAAATGGAGATACACCCCTATATTCGGCCTTGAAGGGACACAATATGGAAGTTGCTTTGTTTCTGGTTAATGTGAACAGACAAGCTTCGTTTCTTGCGAATAAAGAAGGAATATCTCCCTTGTATTTGGCAGTAGAATCCGGAAATGTTTCCCTTGTGAAAGCAATGTTAAGAAATGATGGTCCTCAAGGGAACATGTCTACTTTAGATTCACGGTTGGAAGGGAGAAAATATCTTGCCCACGCCGCTTTAGAGCTCAGGAGTACAGGTTTGTATTGCTTTTTACTCATTTGTAAGATCATAAGTACAAATCCGTATGATTAAATCTTTGTGTGTATGCTCAATGACAGTCCACTTTTTTTTTTTTTTTTTTTTTCTATCAGAGATTCTTGATGTCATTCTTAGAGAATGTCCAAGTCTTGAGGATGAGCGAGATGAAGAAGGAAGGACATGCCTTTCGTTTGGAGCATCCATGGGGAACTATGAAGGAGTATGCTACCTTTTAGACCGGTCAACGTCAAGCGTCTTTGAATGCAACGGTGATGGATCCTTTCCAATCCACGTGGCAATAGAGAAAGGTCATATCAAAATTGTCAAAGAGATCCTAAAACGTTGTCCATATTCAAAACATATGCTGAATGAACATGATCAAAACGTCCTTCATGTTGCGGCTAATAGTGGGAAATTCAAAATTCTACATCATTTGATGAAATATGAACAAACAAAGCATCTGGCTAATGAGCAAGATGAGAATGGGAATACACCTCTGCATCTAGCCACTATAAAGTGGCGTCCTAAAGCCACAGACTTGCTTAAGGGGAGAAAAAACGTGTTCATAAAGAACAATACTGGCTTGACAGCTCTGGATATTGCGGAGTCAAATCTGCAACCTCAATACATCTTTCGGGAGGTATGTCTTATTTTCCACCTTAAGATTTATTTTTCTTTTTAATCTCGCATAGATTATTTACAACTTGTGACCCTTGGTTTGGTTACAGAGGTTGACATTGGTGGTCTTAGCACTCGGTTACGTCCAAAGAGATAGACTCATGAAACTAACAAAACCGTCAGTGCATATGATCCGTGAGGGAAACAAAGAGTACATTAACGCTCTTCTACTAGTGGCAGCTCTTGTAGCAACAGTAACTTTTGCTGCGGGTTTTACAATACCTGGTGGCTTTAACAGCTCTGCTCCAAACTTGGGCATGCCGACTCTAGCAACTGATTCCCGTCTCATCATTTTCCTGATATTTGACATGGTGGCAATGCAATGCTCAGTTGTAGCAGTGGTTTCTCTTATGTGGGCACAGTTAGGGGATCCTGCTCTACGCAGCACATCCTTAAATGTGGCCTTAAAATCACTGCATTTTGCTCTCGAGTCGATGGTGCTTGCATTCCTTTTTGGCATGGTTATTGCAGCTGGGAATATTAACTGGCTTGTCGTCGTCATTTACGTTGTAAATTTGGTCTTCTTATTTGTGATGGCCTGTATCCTTTCCCCTCACATTACCCTACAGGAACCCCTACACAAACTCATACATAGTCGTTTTGGTCGATTTATGCTGGCTTTGAACTTATTTTATTTTCTGGGATTTGTTGATGACGACGGAGATGAAAGCCCTCAGCAGACTTAAAGAGGCTGACTCGTATCCCTTATGTTTGGGGACAAAAATCAATCACTTACCTCAATATCATCTTGTCATTATTGTGTAATATTGTGTAGTTAAGGATATTGATATCCATCGCTTGTATATATGGAGGTGTAACTCTTCCTTGTGAAATATACAGAAAAATCTTCTCTCCACTTGAATCTCAATACTCTGTTTCTATAAGACTTCTACTCACAGGCTGAAAGCCTGAAGAGGGTGTAGTCTGTTGAGATTTCAGGCAAAGATCACGTCAAAATTTCTCACACTGCTTACAAAAAAAGATGATGTTTTTCATTGATGATCTGTATTTTGTAATTTCATTAGATACTTGAGATTGAATGTTAAAACAGATCTAAGGTAACTGTGTGAAAACCTTAATATCTTTTATAGAGCAGTGGTTATTGTAAACCTCCACTTTTGAGAGATTTTATGTGAAGTTCTGTATTGAAAGGTCGCACCTAAGCCCTCAAGGTGATCTTAAAACACCAACCAGACAACTGGTCAAAAGTTTTTCTGGTCAGTAAAGGAAACAAATTTGGGATCTTGGGTTTGGCGAAAATTATTGAAATACAGGACAAAAGCAAAGGCGCTCTATAAAGTGGAGATCGCTAATGGAAGAAGAACATCCTTCTGGTTTGACAACTGGTCCCCAATGGGTCCGTTGCTTGACCTTGTGGGGCCTCGGTGGTTTATCGAGATGGGGATCCCTAGACACATGACGGTGGCTGAAGCTCTATCAAGATTTCGAACCAGGAACCATATAACAGAGACGCTAAGAGAGATACATAGGCTGCTCACAGAGTCTAGAAGTCGAACATTGCAACAAACAGAGGATAGATCCATTAATCTCGCAGACCATCAATCCTAGGGTCGGGAGGTCGGCCCTTTCTGGGCCGGGTCATGAGAATGTGCGGATCAAAGCTCTGATACCATGTTAAGTTTCCTTGGCATCCAACCTAAAACCAATTGGCAATAGGTGGAGAGGCCTCAGTCCCTTATATATCGTTCAAGATCCCTTCCCACTTCCGATGTGGGACTTTATTTGCACACTCTCTAGAGATTAAGGCCTTTCTGGCCCATTATCCTCTACATATCTTAATAGTTAGCGCTTCACAATCGCCTCACCACGGGAGATAGAATGTGTAAACTCATCGTGTACGTTATGTAATCACTCTTTAGAGACCCGAGACCATCTTTTCTTCAGTTGTTCGTTCTCGACTGAAGTATGGTGTGCCCTGACGAAGGGTCTTCTTAAACGAAACTATTCTTCACAGTGGCACACCATCGTCTCCCTCATCTCTGCAATTGACCAGCCACGACTGACCCTCTTCCTGGTTAGGTATGTCTTTCAAGCCACCATACACAGTATATGGCACGAAAGAAACTCACGCCGGCATGGAGAGCAGCCACACTCTGCTACTCAACTCATCAAGTCCATCGACAAGCTCGTTAGGAACCGTATCTCCACAATAAGATTGTTGGGAGATACCAAGTATGAAGCAGCTCTCCAACTTTGGTTTGAAGCAAAAAGTTAGGATTTATTTCTTGAATGTTCTTTTCTAAATCTCAAACTTAAGTTGCACATGATGTAAAAAGAGTTTTTTTTTGGTTTTGAATAAATTTTACATTCAATTCAAAAAAAAAAAAAAAAAAAAAACACCAACCAGACACAATTGAGATGCTTAACTCACAGTCACAGGACCGAAACGCTCTTCATGTCGCTGCAGAAATCAGAACGCAAGAGCTGTTAGCTATCTGCTCACAAAAGCTGAGATTAAAAGGTTAATCAATGAACAAGACGCAGAAGGAAACACACCGTTACATTTAGCCAGCATAACCTCTCATCCAAAGGTTGTCAGTCTCTTTATACAAGACAATAGAGTTGACTTGAAAGTTGAAAGTTCTGAATAACAAAAAGCTCACCACTTTAGATGCAGCTGAGGAGGACATGGCGGCAATTCCTTCACTCCAATAGGTTTGGCCTGTCCTCCCACTGCATTTATACGCCATTGGATATAATTATATCTGAAGGCGCTGTTGACGTCACTGAACATTTTCTATTTTATACGCATTTCCAGTGGTTGATATGGGTGGCATTGGTGTCTGCTGGTACTACTAGAGCTCCACGGGATCATCTGAGAGCAGACATTCCTGGTCCTACGACAGATGAGGACTTAACCCTCAAAATGTACAAGGACAGAGTAAACATTCTCCTTGTGGTGGCAACACTGGTGGCTACAATGGCTTTTGCTGCAGGCTTGAGTGTGCCACTTTGTTAGGTGTAAGGTAACATAGACGAAAGAAATGTACATTTTGTGTTAGAAAACATATCAAAGTTTGCTTAAATGTTCAGAGGTTTTGTTGGTGGCCTTTAGATTGAAAGGCCTGATTTTGCATAAGTGTGTATAATTCAGCCCATTGGGAGAAGAATGGGGGTAGGTTTTTAGTTGACTTTGGATTATACGATTCACACTCTCTTAAATGCACAGCTCGGTTATCGAGGTTTTAAGATAACTTGGGATTAAACAAAGACCATGACTCTGTTTCTGCATTCGCTTTCATTACACTCACATCATAGTCTCTCTCTCTCTCTCTCTCTCTTTCGTCAAGCTTGTAGCAGCAAGCCAACAACTCCTCTAGCTTTGTCCTATTGTTCACTTTCATAGACAACGAATCAAATACCATTTTGATTGTTGCTAATACCATTTTGTATTTGAAACAAATCAAAGTTGCTCAATGTTAAGGAGTTTGTGTTGGGTTATATTCTTGTATAGATTTTGGTTCATTGGCCTGATTTTCACGTGTATATATAACATACCCCCAGTGGTAGAACATTATAAAAATAGTTATAGTGGAGTTGGAGTAGGTGTGTTATGTTGACTTTGTATTTACCATTTAGGTCTATATTTTTCGAATTATAAAAAGACCTTCACTCTGTTTCTGCTTTGACTTTGAGTACACTTACAGTAATATCTCTACACGTCTCTCATTCGGCAAGCTCTCTTGCATTTCTTGGCTCATTCTTCCACTTGGTAAGTCTCTCTATTCCATCCTCTTCTTTGGTGTATACGTTGACTTTTTGTTTTGGTTGGAGAAATAAAACTGTGTTCATTTCGAACAATTTTGTGTAGTTGATATTCAGGTTTGAGATGGACATTTCTGAAGCAGGGTTGGATAGAATTGAGGCACAGAGATCAACAGATGTGTCTCACGACCAACGGAGAAAAAAATCCTTCTGTATGAATCTGATAAACAAAGGCGCACGCACACTCAGTTCACGAGGTCTCTTCAATCCGAAGGCACAAAGTCACCGTCGGAGTCGGAGTCATGCTGCTTTGAAGCTCAGGAGTACAGGTTTGTTTTTGCAATTTTATAACTTCAAATCTTGTTAGTACAGTAACCCTAATGATATTCCCACTTGTTTGATCAGAGGTTTTTGATGTCATTCTTAAAGAATGTCCAAGTCTTGAGGATGAGAGAGACAAAGAAGGAAGGACATGTCTTTCGTTTGGAGCATCCATGGGGTATTATGAAGGAGTACGCAAATTGTTAGACCGATCAACAAAGAGTGTTTACGTAAGCGACGATGATGGGTCATATCCAATCCATATGGCAGTAGAGAAAGGTCATAAGAAAATCGTGTTAGAGATTCTAAAACGTTGTCCATATTCAAAGCACCTGCTTAACAAAAGAGGTCAGAACATTCTTCACATTGCAGCTAATAGTGGGAGATTTCAAATTCTAAATCACTTGACGACACACGAACAAACAAAGCATCTGGCTAATGAGCAAGATGTGGATGGGAATACACCTCTGCATCTAGCCATCATAAAGTGGCGCCCTAGAGCTGCTCGTTGCCTTGTGGGACAAGAAAACCTGTTCATACAAAATAACAGCGGCTTGACAGCTTTGGATATTGCTGAGTTAAATATCAAACCCAACTACATCTTTAGGGAGGTACGTACATGTACATCTAGTTTCCAACCATAAAAAAAAAATTTACTTTTTTTTTTTTTGATCCCCTCATCGATTATTTTGCAGCGGTTGACAATTGTGGTCTTAGTACACGGTCACTTCGAAAACGACGCTAAGTGCATTCACACCATGAAACTAACAAGACCATCAGTGCCATTGGAACGCGGCGGGAACAAAGATTTCATCAATGCCCTTATAGTGGTGGCAGCTCTTGTAGCAACGGTAACATTTTCTGCAGGTTTTACAACCCCTGGTGGATTCAAGAGCACCTCCTCTCCAAATTTGGGCGTCGCAGTACTAGCAAATGACAACCGTCTCCACGTGTTCCTGGGATGTGACACCGTTGCAATGGGAAGCTCAGTGATAGCAGTAGTTTCTCTCATTTGGGCGCAGTTAGGGGATCCTGCACTCTTCCGTAGCTCCGTAAACTTGGCCTTGCCCTTGCTGTGTTTTTCTCTATTGTGGATGGCGAATGCATATTTTTCCGCCATGATGATTACAGTTGGTCCTGTTCCAGGGTTTATGATCGTCTTTATGCTTGCATATTTGTTCTTCCTATACGTGATGCTCGTAATCTTTGTCCCTCACATTTTCCTACAGCTATCGATATTTGGACCTGCTTCTCCTCTAGTCAGTGCGGTTTTCTTGTCTTTTCTGAAGTTAGTTAATGACGGCAATGATGAAAGTGATAAGACCTCTTCTACTCAGAGTCACATGTCTATCAAGAAGGAGGATTCGGTTGAGATCTCAGGCGAAATGCCACACACTACTTGAAAAAGGAGAATGTTTTCCATTGATGGATTTATGTAATTTCATTTGATATTGTTGTCATGATATATTTATTTTACCGTTCAGAATGAGTTTCAAAACAGAAAGAAAGTATTGTGTGGGAACCGTATTTACTTTGAGTGGGAAACAATGTAAAGATTTTGAGATGGTTTAGCGAGGAAAATGAAGTTCATGTGTGTTTCGATCACCAAGTAGTCCCTATAGAGTATAGACTAATAAAAGTCAAAAGTCAACAAGCGGGGATAGCTCAGTTGGGAGAGCGTCAGACTGAAGATCTGAAGGTAGCGTGTTCGATCCACGCTCACCGCATTTTTCAATTTTTTTCCAAATAATCTTACATTATATATGTGTGATCTTGTGCCATCACTGTCATGGCTTTGTTCTGCATGCCGTGTGCGTTCTATTTTGGTGTGGTTATTACTTATTACAGTGGGAAACATGTAAGATTTTGAGATGGTTTAGCGAGGAAATTGAAGCCCTATCTTTAAATGGCTGGCTATCATGTGTGTTTCAGTTACCAAGCAGTACGTACGTATCCTTGATCGTCAAGTAAACGTTCTTAGAAATGGAGCCCTATCTTTAAATGACCATCATAAAGGCTTTGAGGAACAAGCCCAAGTTTCAAGGGCCCAATTCTAACCGTCAAAAACTGGAGCTTACGACAGCGACTGACCCAGTAACGCATTCCGAAAATTTCCAAATGATTTTTTGATCTCCGACAATTATTCTTCATCAGCCGACGACTGAGTTCGAGATTCCGAAGAATTCGTTAACGGAATTGAAATCTCTCCTTTTGTCAAGCGATTGAAGACCAAAAATCAGAATCGAGGAAGAGCAGGAGTGTGACGATGCAGACCTGGGAAAGAAGAGCAAACAGATTGAGTCGAGTGGATAGCGAGAAGCAGCTGAAGAAGATACATTATCGAGGATCATTGTTTAAGTAATCATATAGCTGGTTCGTGATGATTCTCTTGCTTTCCGTTTTATCGAGGTCAGATTGGAAACAAACCTCTGTATGTGTAATTTGTGATTATTTTAAAACTACTTGTTCCCACAATTGCATGTTCCTAGAAGACAAGGTAGCTACAGGCTTGTAGCTGTGTCTAAGACTCGAAATAATTCACGTTATCACATGTCACATATGAGGTAAGGCTAAAAATGCATAGCTTTTTCATGCTATCTTGCTTTTGATAACATCATGTTCTGAAGATTCCCAAAGTTTCAGAGTTAATTATCAGTATCAACTCTCAGCATTGTTGAGGATTATGGTATGTAAGTGGCCACGTACCAATTCAGGACATCATCACTATTTTATGGTATGTGAAACCGTTACGTGTTCTTTATTTTTATTTCGGATTTATAGATTAGTGCTCCTGTAAGCTAAAAATTCAGGAACTCATTATTGTCACTACTTAAATCATTAAAAACAAGTAGGCCTGGTTTACAAGCTTGATTGAGATGCCAAGTCAAGTCAAGGCACACTCATTGTAGACCCAGTAGGCCCGGTTTGTCACAATTATGATATGATGATATTTTATTTTGTGGTTATGAGAAGGCTTTTAATATTCAAAACGTTTACCTCCTTTCACTCCAATTGGTCAAGTCAATAGATTTTGTTTTCTACTATTTCTTTCTCCTCTTCTGGCACCATTCCGTGAAACCTACTTGATGGTGACCTAAAAACTTCATGCCAGTCCCTATTTAAGGGTAGGAAGCTGTAGGTGTTATCACTATTAAGGTCAAGCTGTTCCAAAAGCACAGAGAGCTACAATGAGTGTGTCTGTTGAGCAACAGAGAACAAGATCCCTCCCCCTGAGTCTGGTAATAGATTGCTGGGCGCCGCCACATACTGAATCTGTGCCAGACTTCCTTACTAATCTCAGACTGTCGGATCTTTACAACCTTCCCGGTGTTTCTGTGCCAATGAATCCGAAGATCTTTAGCGCAATGAGAGCAGGGAACATATATCTTCTGGAGAATATGAAAACCTCTGTAACACCAATGACATGTCTCAAGAACGATAAAGGAGACTCCGTTCTTCACCTTGCTGCTGCTTTGGGCCATGATGAACTCGTGGAGAGGATAATCTCTGAATGTCCATCTCTGCTTTTGGAACAAAACTGGAAGGATCAGATCCCAATCCATGCTGCTGCGTATGCTGGTCATCTAGATGTTGTCAAGACTCTTGTTGCATCGATAGCATATTTCTCAGGTAAGATATTATCTGAAGAAGAGAGGGAGAGATTTAATGTATATGTTCTTAAGGACATAGATGGAGATACTCCTCTGCATGCAGCACTGAAGGGGGGTCATCTAGAGACCGCTCTCTGCCTCGTAAAAGCAAACCACCTTGCATCATTTCTTCAGAATAACGCAGGAATATCCCCCTTGTATATGGCTGTAGAAGCTGGAGGTCTAGCCCTAGTGAAGGAAATGTTGAACAGTCTGTCTAGGAACGTCCAAGGCCAAGAATCTAATTTAGCCTCACGGTTTGAAGGGAGAAAATCGCTTGTACACGCAGCTCTAAAGGCAAAGAATACAGGTTTTAGTTTCCCATTTTAGCTATGTTAATGTTCCTTTGCTCAAGAAGCTATATACTGAATGCCTTCTTGTTTAAAGCAGATATCCTTAATGTTATTCTTCATGAAGATCCAAGTCTTGGGGACGAGAAAGATGAAGAAGGAAGGACTTGTCTTTCAGTGGGAGCATTTGTAGGGTTTCGTGAAGGAGTATGCAATCTCTTAGACCGATCAACCTCAAGCGTCTTTGAATGCAACGGTGATGGTTCTTTTCCAATCCATATGGCAGTAGAGAAAGGTCATATGGATGTTCTAGTAGAGATGATAATACGTTGTCCAGATTTGATAGAGCTGCTAAACAAACAAGGTCAGAACATTCTTCACATTGCAGCAAAGAGTGGGGGATATGGGCATCTAACCATCATAGAGCTCATGAAAAGACTTTATAGGGAGAATAATCATCTGATTGAGGAGCAAGATGAGGATGGGAATACACCTCTGCATCTAGCCACCATAAATTGGCGTCCTCGAATGGTTAGGGATCTTACTAAGTATCCTTCAAACGCTACCAGACTCTTAAAAATACAGAACAAAGATGGCTTGAGAGCACTTGATATTGCAGAGTTAAATCTACAATCCAACTACATCTTCAGGGAGGTATAATCTGATCTCTCAATATATACAACTGTTTTGTTCCAATGTTGAAAACATATGTATATGCCTTTTTGTTCATCACTTATTTTCGTCTTTCTTGGAATATATCAGAGAATGACTTTGATGGTCTTGTTATCCGCTTACAAACCAAAAGGTTATGATAGGATACCCCCAAGTGGGATGACACTACGAAGCAGATCAGAGCTCGCAGATCCTAACAAGTACAAAGACCGTGTCAACGCCCTTCTAGTGGTGGCAACTCTTATAGCTACAATAACATTTGCTGCGGGTATTACATTACCTGGAGGTTTAAACAGCTCTGGCAAAGCCATTTTGGCCACTGAATCCAAGTACGATATGTTTGTCGGCTTTATGTTATTTGACATTATAGCAATGGTAAGCTCTATTATAGCAATAATTGCCCTTTTATGGGCTCAGATGGGAGATCCAGAACTCGTTCACAAAGCCTTTCGATTGGCCTTGCCATCGCTGTCTATGGCTTTAACCTCCATGACGTTGGCATTCCAATGTGGCGTGATGCTTACAACAAGTGGCAACCGTTTTATTCTTTACTTCATTGGCATGATACAAATTCCCTTCTTTTTTGTGTTTGTTTTGGTCCTTGTCCCTTATGTTGGCCAAGAATATGGACGCCAATTTGGTAGGTCGATGGATATGTGTCTATGGATTCTATTGGCGCTTGTTACTGAAGACGATGCTGAAACATATCACAACTCTGGCTCTTGTCAAACCCGTGGTTTGTGATCAAATGGAAAAGCCCAAAGTCCTAATAAAAAGCTCTCTTCTTTATGTATTTGTTGTTTGAAATGATTAGCTTTTCTGGGTGCAATATTTATGGTTGCCTTGCCATGTACTCTCTCTTTTTTTTTGTCAAAATATTGTTTTTGAATGAAGAGTTGTTTCACTGTTCCTTAGAAAATTTAGGCGAGGGGCTAGAGAATTTAGACCATACGTTCCATTCCAATGTTCCAAGATGAACTTTTTATACACATGGCCAATAACTCGGAGTTACTTTGTTATCATGGAGACAAAATCTCCGGATACATTTCTAGCTTATATACTCATAAAAGTCAAAGTCAAAAGCGGGGATAGCTCAGTTGGGAGAGCGTCAGACTGAAGATCTGAAGGTCGCGTGTTCGATCCACGCTCACCGCATTTTTTTACCTTTTTCTAAAATAATCTTACATTATATCTGTTTTTGGCTCTGTTCTCCATGCCGTGTGCGTTCTATTTTGGGGTGGTTATTACTTATTACAGTATGAAATGTTAGAGGGCTTGTCAGTTGTCATATTCATTTCGGTTATATCTATGATCTTCTTCTTGGTCATGCTCATTGTCATTGGCCCTCACGTTATTCTGCAGAGACCTAGCATCTACGTAGCCTAGCATTCCTGCTTTCTTTGGTTTTTTTTTTTGCATTTTACGTGGTTTGTTAATGATGAGGATGATGAGATTGAGATATATCCGATTTCTGTTGCATGCACGTCTGTGAATATCTCAGGAAAGGATTATCTTGAAAAGCCCAAAAGTACGTAAACAAAAACAGAGTATTTCTTAGAATGTAATTTGTATTATGATATGGTGGTTTTTTTTTTTTGTTTTATTATGATATTGTGGTTGCCGGGTTGGTTGTTGTTTTTGCAATCCTGTTTCGGTATGTTTCGTTACGAGGGATTGGTTTGCTTATTTCTCTGACTTGTACCCTTTCCAAAGAAATAAAGTGCTTGGCTTGCCACTTTTTAAAGTCTCAAACTCTGTTTTTGGAGGTGGCTTAGCAATTCCTAACATGATTTTTGGCTACGTAAAACGGTACATGTTTCTTCCCGATGTTTGAACCAGTGGAACCATTTTGCTTAAAATATCACTAAGGTGTACGTGTCAAGTTGGCTTATCAAACTTCTGAAGTCAACTCCTCCATCTGTTGACTTGAGAATATCCCAAAGTCATGAATTCATACATGAACTAGTTTATCTGAAAAAAAAAACAAATTCTACATATGATGTGTTTTTGTGTGGTTATGTGAAGGCCTTTTGTATTCAAAACTGTTTCCCCCTTTCATTCCAATTGATCTTCCTACACGTGATGTTCGTGATCCTTGTCCCTCACATTTTCCTACAGCTATTGATGTTTGGACCTGCTTCTCTAGTTAGTGCGGTTTTCTTGTCTTTTCTGAAGTTAGTTAATAATAATGACGACAAGGATGAAAGTTATCCGAGGAAAATGAAGTTCATGTGTGTTTCGATCACCAAGTAGTGCGTATCCTTGATCATCAAGTAAACGTTGTTAGAAATGGAGCCCTATCTTTAAATGGCTATCAATTATCATAACGGGCTCGGTTTGATAACCGGCAAGAAGTTCACTAGAAGCAATTAGAGTTGACTCTTGACCAAATAACCGGCAAGAAGATGCTGCTGTACCCGGTGGTATTAGAAGGCTTTGAGGAACAGGCCCATGTTTTAAGGGCCCAATTCTAATCGTCAAAACTGGAGCTTACGACAGCGACTGACCGATGATAACGGCTCCAAAAATTTCCTTGTGGTTTTCCGATCTCCGACACTCGTTCTTCACCAGCCGGCGGAAATCGCCTTGTTCCCGACGACTGAGTTCGAGGTTCCGGAGAATCCGTGACCGGAAATGAAAATTTTTCATTCCTCGAGCGAATGAAAGACCAAAAAACAGAATCGAAGAAGAGTAGGAGTGTGAGGACGAAGCAGACCTGGATCAGCTGGAGCAAATAGACCGAGAAGAGTCGATAGCGAGGAGCAGCTGGAGAAGATACATTAACGAGGATCAATGGTTAATTAATCAAACAGCTGGTTCGTGATGATTCTCTTGCTTTCCGTTTTAAATTTCCCTGGCCTGTAAGCTGGAACTAAGAAATGTCGCAAGTTTTCTCCATCAGATTGAAAACGAACATCTGTATCTGTAAATATGGATCCAATGCTATTTTTATAATGGAAATGCCGAAATGTTACAGATTTTTTTTGTATTTCTGATTATTTTTAAACTGCTGTTTCCCACATAATTGCATGTTACTAGAAGACAAGGTAGCTCTGTAGCTGTTTCCTGCTACATTGGTTGTTTATTTCATAGAACCTCATAGCATAATTCATTATCATATCTGAGTTAAGACTCTAAATGCATAGATTTTAAATCTCATCTTGCTTTTGATAAAATCATGCTCTGAAGATCCCCAAAGTTTCAGAGTGATCAGTATAAACTCTCAGCAATCTTGAGAAGGCTCCAAGTCCTGGTAAGTAGTGAGATTCACTTTACTACATCTATGGATCCAAAGACCTATAGGGCAGTGGTTATGGGTAAAGTGCAAGATTTCGAAAAGGTTATGCTGGAAAATGAAATTCCTGTTCTTGATCAGGTCACTTTTCAGGGAAACACTATCCTGCACCTTGCTGCTATTTATGGCCATGCCCAACTAGTAAGGCGTATCCTTGACCATGAGCTAAACGTTCTTAGAGGTTGGAACCCTAACTTAAATGGTAACTTCGTCTCGAGTTTCTCCCATTATCAGACTCTTCTGGTGAGACAAAACTCCAAGGGAGATCTTGCTCTCCATTTAGCAGCTGCTGCAGGACACGAGCTTATAGTTGACCTTCTCGTTGAATCCCTAAGAAGGCTTCCGCAAGATAGAAGTATCGTGCTTGGATCTTTGCAGATCGTTGTTGGAAACATTTTCAGAGTTTTCAACAGTGATGGGGATACTGCATTGCACCTCGCCTTGAAAGGAAACCATGTAGCTGTTTCCTTGCAACTTGTTCTTGAAGATCGGAGCACTTGCTTTCTTCTGGACAAGGAGGGTGTATCTCCATTGTATATGGCAGCTGAAGCTGGACATGTTGCACTTGTGAAGCATATGCTACAGGGTCTGGAAGCAAGCTTTGTTGGGAAGTCAGTTTTGTGTGCTGCAGTTAAAAGCAAGAATCTTGGTCAGTTCTGTTGAATTTCATCCTTTTTCCTATGCTGTATGATGTGTTAAGCATCTGAGTTCTTGTTGTATGTGTTCTGTCATGGCAGATATTCTAACAGCTATACTGGAAAGTGACTCAGATCTGGTAGACTCAAGGGATGAAAATGGAAGAACACCACTTGCCTTTGCAGCATCTATTGGATATGACATAGGAGTGCAGCATATGCTAACCAGATTTGCAAGCTCTACACAGATTGCTTACGTTAATAATGAAGATGGTTCTTACCCCATTCACTCTGCTTGCGTTGCAAGTCACACCTCAGCTCTCAAGGTGATCTTAAAACACCACCCAGACACGATAGAGATGCTTAACTCACAGGGTCAAAACGTTCTTCATATCGCTGCTGAAAGCGGGAACGCAAGAGCTGTTAGCTATCTGTTGAGAAAGACTGAGATTAAAAGGTTGATCAATGAACAAGACGTACAAGGAAACACACCGTTACATTTAGCCAGCATGACTACTAATCCAAAGGTTGTAAGTCTCTTCATACAGGACAATAGAGTTGACTTGAAAGTACTGAATAACAAAGGGCTCACCACTTTAGATGCAGCTGAGGAGCATATGGCGGCTATTCCTTCACTCCAACAGGTTTGCCTTGTCCTCCCATTGTATATCATTGTATCTAAAGCTGTTGACGTCACTGAACATTTTCTATGTTATACGCGTTTTCAGTGGTTGATATGGGTTGCATTGGTGTCTGCTGGTACTACCAGAGGTCCACGAGTTCATCTGAGAGCAGACATTCCTGATCCTACGACAGATGAGGACTTAACCCTCAAAATGTACAAGGACAGAGTAAACACTCTCCTTGTGGTGGCAACACTGGTGGCCACAATGGCTTTCGCTGCAGGATTGAGTGTGCCACTAGGTTACAACAGCACAGAGTTCAAGTCAAATGTCAAACATTCTTATGAAGAATCTGCGTTTCATGCTTTTGTCATCTGCAATAGCATTGCCGTCTATGCTGCTGTTATATCGACGGTTGCTCTTATAGGGACACAACTGGCTGACCTGAAATGCATGATGACCACTTTCAAGTTTATAGTGCCACTTCTGGGGTTCTCTATTATCGCCATGTCTTTGGCTTTTGTCGCTGGCTTATACCTGGTCCTGGGACAGCATCATTGGCTCGCCGTATTTGTCTTGGCCTCAGGTGGCTTTTATCTCATGGCTCTTCTTCTGCTTATCATCCCTTATGCCTCGCCTTATACTTTTAGTCCGCTGCTTTTCCGCTACTTTTTGCGGTTTCCCTTTTCCGTGTTGGTTTTCTTTGCGTACTGGAGGGATGGCACTGGTGGGGAATGCTCGTCACCAGTTTCCCGTTGGTCATTTATTGGTTAAAGATCAATAAAATTTAAAGAATGACCAATTTCCGTTGGCTCATGATGTTCAAGAATATAGGGCAATGGAGTGAAGCTTGGAGAGATGTTGAATTTTGAATAATATAAGATTTTTGTTAGAACTTCCTTGAGCTGATTTGATTTCTGCCTCTGGTAACAACTAACTCTTCGTTGACATATCAAGTTCGAGAAACCTGCAAGTCGTTGCACATTGTGTTAGATGAATGAATAAAACGTCACAGATTTGCGCTTGAGACAGAAGAGAAATTAAAGTGGATCAGAAAGATGACGATCATACCATTTTTACACCTTCCACAAGTTTTTTTGTTTCATTTTTATTCAACACTAATTTTTCATTCACAAGTCCCCTTACAACATCGAGTAAACAAGCCTTGCCATCACGGCATCACTGTTTTTTGTTTGCTCTGTTCTGGATGCTGTGTGCGTTCTATTTTGGGGTGGATATTACAGTAGGAAATGTTAGAGGGCTTGTCATAGTCATTTCCAATTATATCTATCATCATCTTCTTGGTCATGCACTTTGTCCTTGGCTCTCAAGTTATTCTCAAATACCTGGCATTCCTGCTTTAATTTGTTTAGATTATTTTTCTTGCATTTTATGTGGTTTGTTAATGAGAGGAGGATGAGAGCAGACCTCTGTGAAGATCTCAGGCGAAGATCAAGTTGAACAGCCAGAAGTTCCTGAAAGAGTGTTTTTCTGATGTAAACATTTGAATTGTTTGATTCTGTGCGTTTTATATGTGTTCCTTGCAGAGAGTGTTTTCTGTCTGTTTTTTTACTACGGATTGGTTTGCTTCTTTCTCTGATTTGTACCCTTTTCAAATAATTGAAGTGCTTCTTTTGATGTTGGTCAAGTCAAGGTCGCAGGCCTACCTACCACTAGTCAAAATGAGTATTCTCTTATTTTATTAATAAGATTTTTTTATTTTGTGGTTGTGAGAAGGCTTTCATTACGTTTCCCTCCTTTTCAATCCAATTGGTCAAGTCAATAGATTTTGTTTTTTACTGTTTTTTTTTTTTCTCCTCTTCCTGGCATTATTCTGTGAAACCTCTCTACGTGATGGTGACCTAAAGCCTTCATGCCAGTCCTTATTTAACTGAAGGAAACCGTAGGTGTTGTCACTATTAAGGTCAAGCTGTTGTACGTAAGTCTCTTTTTATCCTCCTTCTTCTTGCTAATATATGAGTATGCGTCTTTTTTAAGAGTGAAACTGAAACAATTTTGTTTTTCTTTCAACTCAGAAGTTTGCATTGACTGTTCTGGAGAACATCGTGAGACAATCAAAGCATATAAAGCCGCTATGACTATGTTTGTTATTGAACAGAGACCAAGATGCTTCCCCCTGGCTCTGATCATAGACAGCATCATTCCGCCGCATACGGAATCTGTGCCAGAGTTCCTTACTAATCTCATATTGTCAGATCTTTACAATTTTCCTGGTGAATATGTGCCCATGAATCCAGAGACTTATAGCGCGATGAGAGCGGGGAACATAGATTTTTGGGACAAGATGAGAAGCTATGGAACACCATTGGCATGCCTCAAGAATGATAAAGGAGATTCCATTCTTCACCTTGCTGCTGCTTTCGGACATCTTGACCTAGTGAAGAGCATAATCTCGGAATGCCCATCTCTTCTTTTGGAGTCAAACTGGAAGGATCAGATTCCGCTACATGCTGCTGCTCATGCTGGTCGTCTAGCTGTTGTTAAGACTCTTGTTGCGTCGATAACATATTTTTCACTTGAAGAAGAGAGGGAGAGACTTAATGTATATGTTCTTAAGGACATAGATGGAAATACTCCTCTGCACACAGCATTGAAGGGGGGTCACCTAGAGACCGCTCTCTGCCTCGTAAATGCAAACCAGCTTGCATCATTTCTTCAGAATAACGCAAGAATATCTCCCTTGTATATGGCTGTAGAAGCTGGAGGTCTAGCGTTAGTGAAGGCAATGTTGAACGGTCTTGGTAGGAACGTCCAAGGCCAAGTTTCTAATTTAGCCTCAAAGTTAGAGGGGAAAAAATCGCTTGTACACGCAGCTCTAAAGGCAAAGAATACAGGTTTTAATCAGTCTCTCATTTTTACCTATGTTAATGTTCCTTTGCTCAAGAAGATATATACTGAATTATTTCTTGTTTAAAGCAGATATCATTAATGTTATTCTTAATGAAGATCCAAGTCTTGGGAATGAGAAAGATGAAGAAGAACGAACGTGTCTTTCGTTTGGAGCATATGTAGGTTATCGTAAAGGAGTATGCAACCTGTTAGACCGATCAACGTCAGGCGTCTTTGAATGCAGTGATGACGTATCCTTCCCAATCCATACAGCGGTAGAGAAAGGTCATGTCGATGTTGTAAAAGAGATTTTAAAACGTTGTCCAGATTCCATAGAGCTGCTGAACAAAAAAGGTCAAAACATTCTTCACGTTGCAGCAAAGAGTGGAAAATGTAGATCTTTGCTTAAGCATATGAAGAGACTTGATGGGGAGAAGAGTCATCTGATTGAGGAGCAAGATGAGGATGGGAATACACCTTTGCATCTAGCCACCATAAATTGGCGTCCTCGAATGGTTAGGGAGCTTACTAAGTTTTCGTCAAACGCTACCGGAATCTTAAAGATACAAAACAAAGATGGCTTGAGAGCACTTGATATTGCAGAGTTAAATCTACAATCCAACTACATCTTCAAGGAGGTATAATCTGATCTCTCTATATATACAGCTGTTTTCTTCCAGATTTTGTTCATCACCTTTTTTCATGTCTTTCTTGGAATATATCAGAGAATGACTTTGATGGTCTTGTTATCCACTTACAAACCAAAAGGTTTTGGAAGGATTCCCACAAGTGGAATGACATTAAGAAGTAGATCAGAGATTATAGATACTAACAACTACAAAGACCGTGTCAACGCCCTTCTAGTGGTGGCAACTCTTATAGCTACAGTAACATTTGCTGCAGGTATTACAGTACCCGGAGGCTTTAACAACTCGGGCATGGCCATTTTGGCCAAAAACTCAGTTACTTTCGTCTGCTTTGTGGTATTAGACATTTTGGCAATGCTGAGCTCTGTTATAGCAATAGTTGCCCTTATTTGGGCTCAGATGGGAGATCCAGAACTCATTCACAAAGCCTTTCGATTGGCCTTGCCATCGCTGTCTTTGGCTTTATCCTCCATGTCGTTCGCATTCCTTAATGGCGTGCTAGTTACAACAAGTCCCAAATCTTTTCTTTCTTTCTTCATCAAAATTATACAAATTCCCCTAGCTATTTTGCTTTTTTATCTCCTTGCCCCTTATGTTGGGCCAGAGATTGATTGCCCTTTAGCTAGGTCAGCGAATATATGTCTAAGGATTCTATTGCGGTTTGTTGATGAAGACAATGCTGAAACATATCACAACTCTGGCTCTGGTCAAACCCGTGGTGTGTGATCCAATGGAAAAGCTGAAAGTCCTAATAAAAAGCTATCTTCCTTATCTATTTGTTACCGTTGTTCGACATAATTAGATTTACTGTGTACAATAAATGTTTTATCTTGCGTGTTTATTTTATGGTATCCATGTATTATCTTTGTTTTGTCAAAATAATGTTCTTGTATGAAAAGTTGTTTCACCGTTCATTAGAAAATTTTGGCGAGTGGCTAGAGAATTTAGACCATACGTTTCATTCCAATGTACCAATATGAACTTTTGATACCTGTATGTGTGACATGGCCAATAACTCCGAGTTACTTTGTTATCATGGAGACAAAATCTCCCGATACACTTCTACGTTATATACTCATAAAAGTCAAAAGTCAACAAGCGGGGATAGCTCAGTTGGGGGGCGTCAGACTGAAGATCTGAAGGTCGCGTGTTCGATCCACGCTCACCGCATGTTTTACCTTTTTCTAAAGTAATCTTACATTGTATCTATGTGGCCTTGCCCATCACTGTTTTTGGCTCTGTTCTGCATGCCGTTTGCGTTCTATTTTGGGGGTGGTTATTACTTACTATTACAGTAGGAAATGTTAGAGGGATTGTCATATTCATTTCGGTTATATCTATGATCTTCTTCTTGGTCATGCTCTTTGACCTTGGCCCTCACGTTATTCTGCAGATTAGACCTAGCATTCCTGCTTTCTTTGGTATTTTTTTTTTGCATTTTATGTGGTTTTTTAATGATGAGATTGAGATATATCCGACTTCTCTGTTGCATGCATGTGTGTGAATATGTCAGGAAAGGATTATCTTGAGAAGCCCAAAAGTACATACACAAAAACAGAGTATTTCTTAGAATGTAATTTTTATGATATGGTGGTTGGTTCATGGTTGTTGTTTGATCCTTACGAGGGATTGGTTTGCTTATTTCTCTGACTTGTACCCTTTGCAAAGAAATAATGTGCTTGCCTTGCCACTTTTTAAAGTTTCGAGCTCTGTTTTTGGAGGTGGCTTAGCCATTCCTAACATGATCTTTGGCTACGTGAATCCGGTACATGTTTCTTCCCGATGTTTGAACCAGTCGAACCATTTTGCTTAACGTGTGTGTCAAGTTGGCTTATCAAACATCTAAAGTCAACTCCTCCATCTGTTGACTTGAGAATATCCCAAAGTCATGAATTCATACGTGAACTTAGGCCTGGGCAAATTATCCGTTATATTTGCTTCGATCCGTTATTCGTTCCGATTCAATCCGAAAATCCGGATAACCGTAACTTCACAAAGAATACTAAAGATCAATATCCGTTAGAAACGGAGCAAATAACAAATACTAAAATTTTAAAAGCCGGATATCCGATCCGCTCCGTTTTACATATATATATATATATATGATATACATATAAATTGGATAATTGTTATATCTATATATAAATTTTATAAATATATATTCATCAAATTGATTATTTAAACACTAAAAAAAATTAAAAACAAGTAATTATTATTTGTAATTAAAATTATATTTTCTAAATGTTAAAAAAATATTTTCTGATTAAAAGAATAATAAATATATATTTTTTTAATATTTCCGGAGCGGATCGGATATCCGGTTCACAACGGAGCGGATACGGATCACAAAACCACATATCCGGACGGAGCGGAGCGGATCGCGGATACCTCCAAAATCCCGGATATCCGCTCCGTGAACTAGTTTTTCTAAAAAAAAAAAGAAATCTACACATGATGTGTATTTCTGTGGTCATGTGAAGGCCTTTGGAATGTAAAACTGTTTCCCCCTTTCATTCCAATTGGTCAAAGTCAATAGCTTTTGTTCTCTATCCCTTTTTTCCTCCTCTTTTTTAACATCTTCACGTCTACGTGATGGTTGACCTGAAGTCTTCATGCCATTCAGTGAAGGAAGTTATAGGTGTTATCTAACTGTTGGCGTCGAGCAGCTTTAAGTAACTATTTTTTCTTATCATTTCCAAACAGATTGTGCAACAGCTTACATTGAGTGTTCTGTAGTGAGTTTATAAACAATCAAAGCACAGAGAGCTACAATGAGTGTGTTTGAGCAGCGGAGACCAAGATGCTTCCCCATGTCTCTCGTCATAGACTGCTGCACACCGCATACAGAATCCGTCCCAGAGTTCCTTATTAATCTCAGAAGGTCTGATCTTTACAATCTCCCCGGTGAATTCGTGCCTATGAATCCAGAGATCTTTAGTGCAATGAGAGCCGGGAACAGAGATTTTCTGGAGAAGATGAGAAGCTATGGAACACCAATGGCATGTCACAAGAACGATAAAGGAGATTCCATTCTTCACCTTTGGTCATCGTAAACTAGAGGAGAATAAGATCTCTGAATGTCCATCTCTTCTTTTAGAGCCAAACTGGAAGGAACGGAATCCACTCCATGTTGCTGCTCGTTTAGATGTTGTGAAGACTCTAGTTGCATCGATAACATATGTTTCAGCTAATATCTTGTTTGAAGAAGAGCGGGAAACATTTAGTGTTGATGTTGTAAAAGACATAGATGGAGATACTCCTCTGCACGCAGCATTGAAGGGGCTTCATCTGGAGACCGCTCTCTCCCTCGTAAACGCAAACCAGCTTTTACCATTTCTTGCCAATAAGGACGGAATATCCCCTTTGTATATGGCTGTAGAAGCTGGAGGTCTAGCTCTAGTGAAAGCAATGTTGAAAGGTCTTGGTAATAACGTCCATGGACAAGTTTCTTACTTGGCCTCAAAGTTAGAAGGGAGAAAATCACTTGTACACGCAGCTCTAAAGGCGAAAAACAGAGGATTTTCTGTAAAGTCTTCCATCTGCTTTCTTTCTTGAGGATGGATGAGACTGGACTTCTTTTCAAAGCGTGAAGTGAACCATTAAGTGTCTCTTTTACATTTCAAACATTTAGGGCAACAATTACATTGACTCATGAAAGTCAACAAGCGGGGATAGCTCAGTTGGGAGAGCGTCAGACTGAAGATCTGAAGGTCGCGTGTTCGATCCACGCTCACCGCATTCTCTCCTTTTTTTTTTCTGAAGAATCATAGCTTGAAAGTTGAAATATTTGTCTGAACATGACCTGATATTTGCTTAAATATTGTTTTTCACTACTCTGCTCCGAACTTGGGAATGGCAACACTGGCCGGAGATCCCATCCCACCTTTTCTATTTTCTTGTCTTTGACACCCTTGCAGTGCAATCCTACGTTGTGAGTTGTGACTATAGCTACTGTGATTAGGGCGCAGTTGGGAGATATTGCACTCTCTCTCGGATCCTTATATGTGGCTCTAAGCCTCGTTAACGCAAATCATTTCTTGCAAATAATGAGGGAATAATGGTGAAAGCAATGTTGAAACGTCTTGGTAATAAAGGCCAAAATTTCCAACGTAGTCTCTGTTAAGTTACATGGGCTTCTAACTCAAAATCAATTGGCAATTAGTGAAGAGGCCCATATTCCTTATATACCACTTGAGATCCCTTCCAACTTCCGATGTGGGATATTATTCCCTAATATGCCCCCTCGAGACGATGGCTCTTTGGCCATCGATCTCGGTATGTTCGGGCTTGGATCGCCAGCACCAATTTTGGGCATGGTCGATGATTGGACCAACTATGGGTCGGATCGGGTTGGAATGTATGGATCGGGGCTCTGATACCATGTTAAGTTACATGGACTTCCAACTCAAAATCAATTGACAATGAGTGGAGAGGTACACATCCCTTATATACTACTTGAGATCCCTTCCAACTTCCGATGTGGGATATTTATGACCAAATAGCCATCGTCTCGAGGGGGCATATTAAGGAATAATATCCCACATCAGAAGTTGGAAGGGATCTCAAGTGGTATATAAGGAATATGGGCCTCTCCACTAATTGCCAATTGGTTTTGAGTTGGAAGCCCATGTAACTTAACACTCTCAATGTTAGTAGGGAGAAAATGGCGTGTGCACTTTAAAGTCAAAGAATAGAGATTTAGTTTCCATTTTAGCTCTGTTTGTTTTCCTTTTCTCAACAAAGCTAACTGAACTTAATTACCTTTTTGTTCATCACTTTTTTTTGTGCTCATTGAATGTCAGAGCAGCTGGTTGGTACAACGATAGGGATGACACTATAATAAGCAGATCAGAGAATGTAGGAGGTGGTGACAAATACAAAGATGGTGTTAACATGCTTCCTACTAGTGGCAACTCTTGTAGCTTCAGTAACGTTTGCTGCAGGTATTGCCGGACCAGAAGGATTTAACAACACATCTAAACCAAATTTTGGCATGCCCAATAAAGCCATCTTCAATTTATTTCAGCTGCATTCTATCTAGCCTTGATTGCTATGACAGCCAACAACGTTCTATTTATGATCGCCAATCACATTGTATTTTTTGTCTTAACTCTACAAAAAAGGCTTTAGTCAGCATCCACAACCGAAGAACCATTACAATTCCTTTTCAAGCAACAGTTTTATCATGCACCCTTTTTTGTTGAAGGGTTTAGGTACTCGTGTGTTTTAGACTTTTAGTTATGCTTGACATGTACTCTGCTTTGTTAAAATGATGATATTTTCGTATAAAGAGACCACATTCTCCAATGCATTCCATGAAATGGACCTAAATCATAATGTTTTGGCTCCCTCCTGCCTGCAAATAAAATTGTCATCAATCAGTTTTGTTTACTCTGATTATATAAATATACTCGTGTAAAAAGGTCAGACTGAAGATCTGAAGGTCGCGTGTTCGATCCACGCTCACCGCATTTTCGATTTTTTTTCCATGACGAGAAATCCTACAACGACGTAGTTTAGTTATAAAAGCAAACACCGCCATAGAAGGCGTCGTTTAACTGGGCCTTTACTAATAACAGGCCCAATATGCCAATACCTAAGCCCACTGCAATTTCCCACCGCCTTTTCCCTTTATATATTCGCGGTTGCCAAAAGCAATCTTCGTTTTGTTTTTTTTTTTGGGGTGGAATATCGTTTTGTTACTTTGACCTGAGAACCTCTCGATTAGAAAACGATGGTGTTCCTCTCGATTCCGAACGGGAAGACTCTATCGATCGATTGCAACCCTAATTCAACAACAATCTCCACCTTCGAGCAATTGGTTCACCAACGCACCGATGTTCCTCAACCTCTCGTTCGCTACTCGCTCCGCACTCGAAACCCTAGCCGTGTCTCCGGAGATTTTAGGGATTCCGGTTCCGTTCTGTTATCCGATCTCGGTGTTTGTCGTTTCTCTACTGTGATTATCCAGGTTCCTCTTTTGGGTGGGATGCAAGGAGCGGCTCCGCCGAAGCCTCGTCTCGATTTCCTCAACTCAAAGCCTCCGTCGAATTACGTCGCGGGTTTGGGTCGTGGTGCTACAGGGTTTACTACTCGGTCCGATATTGGTCCCGCTCGTGCTGCTCCGGATCTACCTGATCGATCCGCCGCGGTTACAGCGGCTGCTCCAGGTGTTGGTCGAGGGGCGGGGAAGCCAAGTGAGGCGGAAGACGATGAAGAAGCTGAGGAGAAAGGGTACGATGAGAATCAGAAGTTTGATGAGTTTGAAGGGAATGATGCAGGTTTGTTCTCTAATGCCGAGTACGATGAGGATGATAAAGAGGCTGATGCGATCTGGGAGGCTATTGACCAGAGGATGGATTCGAGGAGGAAAGACAGGAGAGAAGCGAAGCTTAAAGAAGAAATAGAGAAATACCGAGCTTCGAACCCTAAAATTACTGAGCAGTTTGCGGATTTGAAGAGGAAATTACACACTTTGTCTGCGAATGAATGGGATAATATTCCCGAGATTGGAGACTACTCGCTGCGTAACAAGAAGAAGAAGTTTGAGAGCTTTGTGCCTATCCCTGATACGCTTTTGGAGAAGGCTAAGAAGGAGAAGGAGCTGGTCATGGCCTTGGACCCAAAGAGTAGAGCCGCTGGTGGGTCGGAGACACCATGGTCGCAGACTCCCGTGACAGACTTGACTGCCGTCGGTGAGGGAAGAGGCACGGTGTTGTCTCTGAAGCTTGATAGGTTATCGGATTCAGTTTCGGGGCAAACTGTTGTCGATCCTAAAGGCTACTTAACTGATCTGAAGAGTATGAAGAGAACCACTGATGAAGAGATTTACGATCGCAACAGAGCTAGATTGTTGTACAAGAGTCTAACCTCATCGAATCCAAAGAATCCCAATGGCTGGATTGCTGCCGCTAGAGTTGAGGAAATGGATGGGAAGATAAAAGCAGCTAGGTTTCAGATTCAGAAGGGATGCGAAGAGTGCCCGAAAAATGAGGATGTTTGGCTTGAAGCTTGTAGGTTGGCAAATCCAGAAGATGCTAAGGCTGTGATTGCAAGGGGAGTCAAGCTAATACCCAATTCAGTGAAGCTATGGTTGGAGGCTTCAAAGCTGGAGCATGAGGAGGAGAACAAGAGTAGGGTATTGAGAAAGGGACTGGAGCATATTCCAGACTCGGTAAGGCTATGGAAGGCTGTTGTTGAGTTGGCTAATGAGGAAGATGCAAGGATTTTGCTTCACAGAGCTGTGGAGTGCTGCCCTTTGCATCTGGAGCTATGGGTGGCGCTTGCAAGGCTCGAGACATACGATAACTCGAAGAAGGTGTTGAATAAAGCGAGAGAAAAGCTCCCTAAGGAGCCTGCGATTTGGATCACCGCTGCTAAACTAGAGGAGGCTAATGGGAACCCGGCTATGGTGGTAAAGATTATCGATAGGGGTATAAAGACTCTGCAGAGAGAAGGCGTTGTTATTGACCGAGAAAATTGGATGAGCGAGGCCGAAGCCTCTGAGAGAGCCGGGTCTGTCGCAACTTGCCAGGCAATTATTACCAACACTATCGGTATTGGAGTCGAGGAAGAGGATAGAAAGAGAACTTGGGTTGCTGATGCAGATGAGTGCAAGAAGAGGGGTTCCATTGAGACCGCAAGAGCGATATATGCCCATGCTCTTACTGTATTCTTGACCAAGAAAAGTATCTGGCTCAAAGCGGCACAGCTCGAGAAGAGCCACGGAAGTAGGGAGTCCCTTGATGCCTTGTTGCGTAAGGCTGTGACATATGTTCCTCAGGCTGAGGTTCTTTGGCTCATGGGTGCCAAGGAGAAGTGGCTCGCTGGAGATGTCCCAGCAGCCCGTGCTATTCTACAAGAGGCTTATGCTGCAATTCCCGACTCTGAGGAAGTCTGGCTTGCTGCTTTTAAGCTCGAGTTTGAGAACAAGGAGCCTGAGAGAGCGAGAATGCTTCTTGCAAAAGCTAGGGAAAGAGGAGGGACTGAGAGGGTCTGGATGAAATCAGCCATTGTTGAGAGAGAACTTGGCAACGTTGAGGAGGAGAGGAAACTGCTCGATGAAGGCTTGAAGCAATTCCCAAAATTCTTCAAGCTGTGGTTGATGCTTGGACAGCTCGAGGAACGGCTCAATCGTCTGGAAAAGGCCAGAAAAGTTTACGACGCTGGTTTGGTTAACTGTCCCCACTGCATACCGCTGTGGCTCTCGCTCGCTAATCTTGTGGAGAAAGTGAATGGGCTGAACAAAGCCCGAGCTATTCTCACCTCGGCCAGGACGAAGAATCCCCAGGCGGCGGAACTATGGTTAGCTGCTATTCGTGCTGAAATGAGGCATGACAACAAGGGAGATGCTGAGCGTTTGATGTCAAAGGCACTGCAAGAGTGTCCCAACAGTGGTATCCTCTGGGCTGCAGACATCGAGATGACGCCACGTCCTCGCCGGAAAACTAAGAGTTTGGACGGTTTAAAGAAGTGTGAGCAGGACCCGTATGTCACTGCAGCTGTCGCCAAGCTCTTCTGGCATGACAAGAAGGTGGAGAAAGCCAGGACGTGGCTTAAACGAACTGTGACCCTCTCCCCAAGCATTGGTGATTTCTGGGCCTTGTATTACAAATTTGAACGCCAGCATGGCTCTGAAGAGGACCAGAAGGAGGTCCTTGACAAATGTTTAGCTTCTGAGCCGAAGCATGGTGAGAAGTGGCAAGCCATCTCCAAAGCGGTGGAGAACGCACACCAGTCTGTGGAGTTTATCTTGAAGAAAGTCGTGGCTGCAATGAACAATGAAGAGAAGGCTGCTTGAGAGTAACACATTCCTTTTGTATTTCATGATCTTACTCTGCTCTACACCTTATTGTTTTCTTTTTGCAGGCTCAACTACTTTTAGATGTTCATGTTTTTCTTCACTATCGAGAACTGATATTGATTTGGTGGAGTGTTTTGTTCCCCAGATACTTGTAGAATTCTTCAGTTTACCGAATGCCTCAAGTCCTTCTTTGTGAGTTTCTGCTTGCTGTAATTGAGCTATTGACTTTTATTTTGTTAGTGTATTGCTGATGATTTTTGTTGTTCCTTTCATGCCGTTGCCTTGTTTCTTAAGGAGCTTAGTCTTCCTGGTGTCTAAGATTGGTGCATTGTACAATTCATGAAATCCACTCCAAAGCTCTTCTTTAGACAGTGTAAGCAACTAGCCCCTGACATAGTTATTAGAGTTGTTTGTCCATGCTCTTAACACTAATCTTATATAGTAAAAAGAAAATATTCGTAATTGGCCTTGATGTTAAAACCTTTTGCACGTTTAAATCAACCAACTAGTTTCTTGTTAACCTCCAACATTAATATTTGTTTGCCTTTGACTGCAATACGTCTTATTTGACAGTCTGGGTTCTTGTTCCAGCTCTCAACCTGTTGTACCTTTAGTGTTTTTAGTGTTTGATAGTCTCTTTAGGTAACTACTATGAAACACTAAAGAATCCAAGTAAAAGACTTAAACAGATGACCCCTAAAACAAATCTCTAGCAAAACGTTGGCACTGACAAACACTAAACAACCTGTTAGTGCCAACGTTTTGCTAGAGATTTGTTTTAGGGTCATCTGTTTTAGTCTTTTACTTGGATTCTTTTAGGATACCATAATCTTTGGTAATATACTTGTGTAAAAGCAGGAAGAGAATCCGAATAAAACAATCAAGCTGTATTAATGCAAACCAGTGTTAGTTAGAACCTAATGTGACCCCGGATTAGCAGATCAACTTTGCTTTTCTAAATTGAAATCGCTGTCATCTATACCAGCTGCTTGTCCCATCATCCAACAAGTCATAGTAAAATGCAACATGTCGCAGTCTAAATAAAAACTGGTTATATAAAAATGGCCTTTCACACGAAGTTTAAACAAGATCTTGTGTCTGCCAAAATCAGGATAATCCATCAGAACACAAGCTGACTTTATTTTTGGCGGTTAAACTACTTGCAGAGCCATAGGGGACCGAACCGCACTAAGTTAGAAAATTAGGGCCAAGTCAAAGTAAATCTGCCTGGCCACTTGGTCTTGCCAAAATTTGGACCACACTAGGCTGTATTGAGCCCATCACAACGTCTCTTAACCAAACGTATCGCTTTCTAGGAAAAGTTGTGAAATGACTTGACATACCTCGAAAATTCCTGATTCTCTGTGAAATAAATTAATTATTGATGGCAAGATAGAATTTGGTTATGGACGTGGTATATATGATAATTGTAGAAGTTCTAAACTTTTCATTGGTCGTGTGAGCTTTTATTTTCACCCAAATGTGTCGAATCAGATTTTAGATATAGAGATAACGTTTCTTATAGGCTTATGGCTCCAGCCTCCAAGATCGGTTCTAGCTAGAGTTTCAGGCGTGAGTGAGAGTTAAATGACTGGTTCTTTAAGCTGGCATGGTGTTCAAAGCCATGGCAAATTTATTAACTCGTCATTACTAAACGGATCCAAAAGTCTTGGAAGATGAGGTCTCTCATGTACTAATAATATTTAGGACCTTTTAACAATCTTCGACGCCTAATAGTTACTATAGTGATATTTGGTTCACAGTTCAAATATACATACTTCTTGAAGTAGAAATTTCGAATATCACGTCGAACTTATTTATAAATCTCTATGTACTTTGTTCCTCAAGAAGACATATGCCGACTACACGGCCAGACTTGAGATGGACCCCAGAAATGCTACCAAAAGCAGAACCAACAAAAATAAAATTAAAAACAAATCCATGATAAGGTTTGTGATCATCATACGATGATGGGACGAGAACATGTTCGGTAACATTTTCCAAAAAGATATAAAGAAAAAATGCAAACAGATAATGCTATTGTAGGCCTATGTATTATGCGAATGTGGAGCATATTACTGAAAAATATTGTAAGTGGATATATACGAAAACGCATATTTGACTTTGGTACTCTCAAAATATCGCGTGGCTTGTTGGTTGTTGAAATTCTTATAATATGTTTATTAAATATGTTAGGGGCTAGACTTTTGTGCTCTTTCTCATTTCTGTGGTATGGTTAGTGGTTTATAGTTGATTTTATTAGATAAGACATTAATCTAACCTGGTCTGTTAAATAAATCATATCTTCTCGTGAGTGTTACATAACACTGAAATCGATACCTAAACAAGATAAGGTTTTTAATTGGTCCAGCAACTTAATTCATCATGAACAAAATTAAACTTTGCTTATCAAAATTAGTATAGTCCATATTTATCGGGAAACTAACCGTCTTGCTGACGGGTTAGCAAACTTTGCTTTTTCACTATCGTTGGATTTCCACTTGTTTGATCTAGTTCCTTATAGTTAGAGACGGTCTTGTGGAAGGATGAGATCGGTTTGACTCATCCGCAAAACGTACACTTGTAATAGTTTTTGTTATGTTCTTTTAATAATATTACGGGAGGCCTTTGTCTCCCGTCTGATTCACCAAAACAAAAAAAAACAAAATTAAAAATCTAAGGTTTTGTTACATTTTGAAGAGCATTGTATTGGTTCTGTTAAATCTATTGTCAGCAACTAATTCTCTTGGTTTGTAATAATCATATTTCTTGTGTAACTGTTGTTGTATAATACTACAAGTCATTTGAAGTATTACATATTGAAGACAGCATCTATCCACACAAACAATTACATAATGCTTACTGTTCTTAGGTTTTATAGTACGTATAAATAATTACTAACAAGACCAGCTACTTTGTATCATGTTTGAGAAATTACAAGTAAATTCTGATCATACGTAAATAATTGTGACAAAAATATTTTTAGTCTTAAAATATAATTTTTTTTTGTCAAATTTGTTACGAAATCTGTGCAAATGCACATGTGAACATCTCCTCTACGACGACGGTATTTATTGTATAATGAGCTAAAACATTTAGAAAATAGAAAGTTTGAAAATAGAGCAAAACTGGTCGACGTCGAAAACAAATTAAAAAACAAAGCAATAGCGGTCATTTTCGGAATTAGATTTTAGATGCCTCTTTGGTCTTCGTCCACAACGTGAATCCAGGTCGAGAGGAAACCACAAAACATCATTTTCTTCAATTCATTGGATTATTTCAGTTTGCAAGTAATGAAATTAATACTTGTATTATTAAAACCTCAATTAGTAATATTTATTACGGGAAAATGAAATGGGCCGACCACTTAATGATATTATTTTCCCTTTCTAATTGTTAGGAAATGATTCGTTAGAAGGTCTAGAAATATCGGTGGAGGGACCAAACACTGAACACTCAATCAAGTCAATTTACAAATCTAAGGTCCACATTATTTCATTTTTCTCCGTCACATGTTTGACATTTTTGTCCCCAAAAGGTCCCACTTTTTTTTCATATTACAACATGCCCATTTTTTATTAATCCATTTGACAAAAGGAAATATGAATTCAGTTATGTATAAACTTGTCCAAAAAATTGTTTCTAACATCATATGATGAATTGAAGTTCTACACAATGTAGAACAAGAAAAAGCCATGGTGTATAATAATTAGTCTGTACTAGATTATAAAAGGATTATTTGATTTTCAAAAGGTGATATTGTTCCATCAAATAGGTGTGATTCATTGATCAATAACAAACACTTATGGTTTACAAAATAATTAAAACTCTCCATTTCCATGTATATATATATTTCAGTCAAAACAATTACAAAGATGATTAGATCGTTACACTTTACTAATGTATTTCCTTTAAACGTTACCGAGGTACAAGAACAAGACCCTCTCTCAATCAAATGTTATCAAGAAACAAGAAGACACTCTTTGCAACAAATCAGCACTTACAAGTATACGACATCTCTCATTGATACGACTCAACAGCTATTTTCTACACCCAAAACGCAGCAACCTCTGTAAACGCGTTTAGAAAACGCTCAACCAGCGGTATGAGACTCCTCGCCGCTGCTGCTTCAACCACGGTTAAGTATCAACCTTTTTCACTTGAGACCACCAAGAAAAAACAAAAAGAGATAAACATAATCTACACTTGAAGATCTTTTGGTATAGCGACCGATTCTTGTTAGCCACGGTAAGCCATTCTTGAGAAGTAGTTGAAGTCATGGTGTTGGACTCTTAGCTGCTTAAGCCAAGAATCAGCAACACTCAGAAGCGACACAACTCGCTCCTGATCTTGACCTTGATCGTCTTCCGAGAGCCATACATTGCCTTGCATCTTGTAAGTCGTTAACCCAAAAGGAAGTAGAGTCACTCCTTCTCCTTCCTTCCTCATCCTCTCCTTCTCCCCTCCATTCTCTTCCGGCTCCATATCTTGGAAAGAAGATGAAAGAGTGTGGTAAGTGAGGAAACAAGTGGACAGATCTTTGATTGTCCTCCCCATTGGAATATGGTAAATCGGATACCAAGCTACAGCCATCCAGCTTGCTGGAGAAAGATCTACGCTTCTCAACGACATCAGTCCTGGATACCTTTGAGCCAATTCATTGATCTGAAACCAATTCTTGAATGATAAGATGATTGAAGCAAGATCAATGTGGGGGGAGAAGAAGGAGCAAGATTGAGTTGTTTACCTTATCCATGAGAGGAACACGAGCATAAGGAGCTGATCTCTCAAAGTGTTGAAGATAAAGATAGCCCAAACGATCATTGGGATGCAAGAAAGCGTCATGCTCAAATCCTTCGTCAGAGGCACATCTTGAAAGCTTATCACTTTCACTCTCATCACTATACGAATCACTAAACGAATCTCTCGTCTCGCTTTCTCCATCTTCAGAGTCATCCCTAATCAAGGAATCAACATATTCAAAGATTCGTTTCGATTTAATCAAAAGGATCAAACTTTTTAGAATCTGAAATTTCCCTTTACCTTAAGCGGATCAAGGAAGAGCGAGAGGTGAAAATCTGGATAGCAGAGAGATAAGGAACGTAATATTGAACAAGAGATTCTCCATTGGAGAGATGAATTGGAACACCAGCTCCATAAGCGCTCCATTCATCGTAACAATCCCAAAGATCACTCAATCTGAAAAACTCAACCTTTTCTCTCTCCGATTGATGCCAAATCCGATTCAAACTCCTAATCTCCGCCTGCAAATGCCAAATTGAACACCCAGCCAAAAAAATAAAAAAAAACAAAATTAAATTTAAATTCATAATTGCAAGACTAAGAAACAGAGAGAAACGTTTGACAAACCTTGGGGAGAGATTGGGGAGGCACGACAGGTGTTGTGCAATGAAGGAACCGGTCAAGGTTCGATTTTTTGGTTGACCCTTTTCCAAACACCATGATTTGATTCCTTCTAAAGAGAGAGAGAGGTTAGGTTTTCTTGATTCTTGTTTGAAATGTCCCAGAAACAGAGAGGAACGAGAGAGAATGGGGATTTCAAGAGGGAGACACGCAAGCGAGTGTCTGAGTTTTGACGTTAGGACAGCTGAATTTAAGGGAAACGGAAATTATGGGCAAGCAAAATTTTAATTCTTTTTTATAACAAAAAAGGAATTTTGAAGAAAGAAGAAAAAACCGAAATCTACTCAGTTACTTGCAGAAGAAAGAAAAGTCTTTTAATTTAATTCGTTTTTTTTTCTGTGGAGAGAGCCGATTTTGCGGTTGTTTGTTTGTTTCTATGATCGAAAAACCGAAATGAGAAAACTTCCAAAATGAAAATGTAAGCCACGAATTGATTCAAATGCAAAGAATTTGAAGCGAGAAGGTGAGAGAAAAATACCCGAAAGAGACGAGAAAAATGCAGACTTGACAAGAAAAGAAAAGACCCGATTTGTCAAAAAAAAAAAAAAGTTTTCTTTTTCTTTTTCTTTCCTCAGCTGTTTGATGAGAGGAAGAATTTTTCCCGGAAAACTAAAAAACTTTCTCGGAAAAACTAGTGGGTTTAGGGATACGAAACAGAGATGAGGGTTATATATAAAGGTGAGAGGATTGATTGCTTTCTCTTCAAAAATTCTTTCTTTTAGTTTTACATTTACTTGATCAAAATCCTCTCTTTTGGGGTTTTTTTTTTTTTTTTTTTTTTAATTTTAGAAAATTAATCAAATATAAACAGCGAAAATAAAATATTAAAAAAAATTAGTAAGACAAATTTGAGAAAGAGAAGGTTCTGTAATTAAGGGTACAAGTACAACTAATCAAAGATTATCTCAAACTCAAAGTTTGACGATTTTCCTCGTCCACAGCTCATGATCCTCACGTGGTTTGTTTTTTTTTTTTTTAATCTCCTAGTTCCTATCATCTTCTGCTCTATTATTAAGTAAGCCTTAATATTCGATTAGAAGATTATAGTAAAATAAGTCTGTTACACTTAACAACCATCTACATTTACAGTGTTTGTTGTCTAAAAATACTACAAGAAGATGGCTTTCCAAAATTTGTTCAACGTTATATATTTTATTTTTTAACTGTCTTCTCATTAATTATATCGAAACTGAAATTACCCTCAGGGTTACATCACATTTCTCAGATCAACAAGATGATCAGCAAAACCAAAAGATATATCCTTAGACAAGAGTGGAAATAAGTTCATTTATGACATATTGACAAAACGTTATGAAGATTATGATCTAGTGCGTAAGGCTAAAGAGGTTTACTAAGAGAAGTTGCCAATTTGTTATTGTTGAAATATAGGAACGTGAATCTAGCAGATAAAAACAGAATTCACACTCTCTCGTGGATTTTTTTCAATACACATAATGATAAGAGCTATTTGTTCGTGACGTATTTGAAAAGTATATTGGCAAATCAAAATTAGGCTGCCTAACTTTTTAGCCAATTTCTAGTACTGTGTTCTACTTCTACCTTATATTTTGATTGGCTATCATAATACCATGTCACTAAGGAAAAATACAAGGTTAATTATTGAAAATATGTGCATAAACATGCACATTATTTTCTTAGAAGGTGCAAATGCATATATTTGATATAATACTTTATCCATCAATCTAGAATTCATCACATATTACCTTATATTGAGGCTCTATTTTAATCCGTTACCAAAAACAAGATATTTAGTATTTAGTATTTACACTCTATTTGACCCAGCTGCAGTATGACTAGCATATTTTGTAGTTTTGCAAATTTGTAATAAGCTAAATATCTTGTAGATTGACTTCGTAAAAAATACTCCCTTAATAGAAGATTACAATATATTAATGCCGAAATATCACGTCACTGGACAATGAATAAAGAATTGAAGCCTGTAGTTAATTTAATGCCATATTTTTCTTTCCTTCCTAATGTAATTATGAACTTGTGAACCGACTAATTAAGAAATTAGGTGTCTGAAAATAGTTGAACAAAATAATTAATTATATCCGGTCCTCAAAAAATAAAGAAAATAATAACGATGCCTAAATATCACGTTATTGAGCGGTACTAAACACTACTAGTACCACTCTACTACGGTGGTCACGAGGAGATCACGTGGAAAATGTCAATTACGTGGAAATGTACCAACTTTTCTGAACTTTGGTTCTGGGCCATTTGGCCTTTTCGACCATGTGGTAGTTTTTTCGGGACACGTGACGAGTAAATCATTGTCGCCGTGTAATTTCTTGAGGTTGGAAGAGAGCTCGATTTAAACAGTTGTTGCAAACTGATACTAAAATAGTTTTTTTGACTAAAAATTATGTTTTCATCGATGAAACACACGTGTCGGTAATGGTTAAGGTTAAATGACCGGTTTTATGAGGCGGCTTGATGTGCTGTTGTGGTGGTGGCTGACGCCATTGTCGCTATTTGGGAACTGAAAACGAAGGTGATGAGAGTGACAGTGTAGATCTGGATTTTTGACACGTGGCGTTATCCACATCGTAACCTTTAGGATGATGAAACAGACGAATATCAAATTGCTTTTTGGTTCTCATCTCTAGGCTCTAGCTCAGCGTATTGAGATAAGATCTTGGGCCCTAATTAAGCAGTGTGGGCTTTTAATATTATCTCTCGACCCAAGGAAGTTCACAAGGCCCTTTACACAGATAAGTTTATATTTGATATCAACGTAATTATGGATTTGGAATGAGTAGTTGACAATTTGCAGCGGATTACATTGCTTATCTAATAGTATTGGATTAGACTGACACCTGAAAATATGAATAGTGTATCTTTGTTCACGATCGCCTAGTCGCCTAGAACCAGTAAAAAACAGTTTAAGAATGAGAGTTCAGTGGTCATTTTGTGAGCTACACTCGAGATGTAGTGTGCATATACATAACACTTTTGCTAATACGATTTATTAAGGCATTTAGGCTAAATACGATATGTGGTGAAAGTGATCCACCACCACATGACATGTCATCAATCCCTATCATACACATGGGATAATGATGATGATGAGGTTCCTTTTCTTCTAGCACAAGATACCCTTTTTACTTATATGCTCCCATGCCTTTCTCTCTTCTTGAACCTTTATGAATCATTCTAGTGTATATTATTGTATGGTTCTTGTGATGAGGTAGACTATAGACACCTAATCAAAGATATCAAATTCTTTAACCCACAAAAAACTTTATAAACGGTACACAATAGCTAGTTAGGAACCGTAAGACTTTAAAAATGAATCTCGTTGATACATCTGAATTTCAATCTAAAATAAGGTGTAAGCTTTATTTCAAACAACACATAAAAAAGGAATTTAACAACCAAGAAAAAAACATAAAAGGTAAAAAGAAAAAGGATAAATGGATTAGGACGGGAGAAAAAGGTTGAAGAGCATATCGATTTTTTAGTGCTAATGAAAATCTCATCTTGATTGTCGCGTCGCTTTAATTAGGAAACACAAAGGAGGGAAAATAAAACTTTATAAAAGAAAAAAATTATACTCCCTTTTAAGATGGATTTTCTAGACATTAGTTGTTGTTTCACAAGATAAATTTTTTACTTTTTTGATACACTTTTTCAGTTTTCAAGAAACAATGATTGTATTTGTTAGATTTTTATTGGTTGAAAATTATAAAAAGTTATTTTATTGCAGAAATCAATACACTAATGATTGAAAATCTGCTTTTCCTTAATATGTGTGAAAATTTTAGAAAATTTATAAAAAAAAAACGGAGGGGGTATTTGATATGTGAACTCTCAAGTATGAACACACGAAAGAGGATTTTACACATTTACGTAAGTATTTCAACACAACTAGAAAACTTTATTAAAGATGAATCCAAGTGGATGAATCGTCACTTGCAGAATTAAATTGCATATACACAAACAAATTCTGAAAAATAGTCAGAAACTGTGTAAATGCGTAAAATGATTGGACAAGAAACATCATGAAATTAAAATAAAAGAAAGTTGGGAGAAAAAGGAGTGAATCATGTAGAGATGTACGTGATGGGAAACAGGTATTACTGTTAGTGATGCAATCAATCAAAACTAAGATTCAGGCTCATACTCATCAATCATCATCATACCTTACGACAGTAAAGAAAAAAACTTGATCCAGTTACATATTTTACAAATCTTTATTACAAATCTAAAAAATGTATACAGCAAGAATTATCCACTATATGTTCTTTTTCAATATGTTGGCCAAACATTTGCACTTCTTTATCAATAGTTCTATTTTTTTTTAAAGTACCAGACTTGTTTAGTTTGGGCTAACTATTCAAATTTTCATTTTCATATATACAAGATCTGGAAAGTTAATAAAAACACAAAAGCAGTTTTGATATTTTTTTCATGAAAGAAAATAGACAAAGATCAACTCTTCGGTGAAAATAAACACCTTTTTTCACTCTTCAGTTAATGAGTTCCCATCAATGTTAGCTATACATCAGTAAACTCTCTCTCTCTCTCTCTCTCTCTCTTTCTAGCTGTCTCTCGCACTTCCCACACTCATTGTCTGTGAAACAACTGTTCTTGATTTCCAGAAACAGCCACACACACAACATAAAGGTGCGTTCTCTTGCTTTTATGTTCCTCATATTTTTTAAATTTGATCTCGAAGCGTCTGTTTCTCTTTATGAGTTTGCTCGCTCTTACCATGTTTAAGGCCTCTGTTCGAGTGATTTGCTCATATTAGTTTTTTCCTTTCCATCACTCTGCACTAGTTTGGTTTCCGGAAAAATTTCTGAAGATCATAATTTTTTTTCCCCCCGACTCACTTTGTTTACATTGGATTCCTTAAAAGTGAATCGCTTTACCCCAAAAACGGCATCTTTTTTTTTTTTTTTTTTTTTTTTTTGCTTAATCTTGTTGTTCTTCAGAATTTGCATCTAGTTTCCTGAAATATATAGCCGCTATTAAAAAAATCATGCAAAATCTATTCAACTAACTATCTTCTGTTTTGTTGTCAGGTCATATTAAACAAATCATGTAAAAATCTCTCTGCTTGACCAAATTTTCTGCTTAAGCATAATACTGGGAATCTGTTTTTGGTACAAAAGCAGAGACTTTTGTTTGGTCTATACAACAAACTTGTTGTCTACGCTCGGACTGAACAATGGGAGGTTGCGTATCAACTAGTAGTAAGAGTACGTGCAGCAGCTGGAGCAATGGAGAGAAGAACCCTGTGCCTCGACCATATCTCGGGATCGGTTGTTGTGTGAGCAAAAGAGCCAAGAGAACGTTTTCAGACCACATCGTCTCATTGCAGAACTTGACCTCTATACCAAATCGGATCATCACCAGCAGCAAGAGCAGGAGCTCTTGCATTTTCACTCAACAAGGACGCAAGGGTATTAATCAAGACGCCATGATTGTGTGGGAAGTGAGTTATTGCCTTCTCTATCTTTTTGTGTATCTTACAGTATGGATAACTTTTAAAACAGGATTTTTTCTTGTTGATTTGGTAGGATTTTATGTCTGAAGATGTGACCATATGTGGTGTGTTTGATGGTCATGGTCCTTATGGTCATCTTGTTGCTCGTAAAGTGAGAGACACATTGCCTGTGAAGTTGCAGTCTTTCTTTCATACGCTTCAGTCAAAGCAAAACAGTTCCAAAGGGACTCGATTCAGGAGAAACTCAACTGTCCAAGAAGCTGTTAAAGAAGGATCTGATGAGGATAAACTAAAAGGCTTGTGGGGAGAAGCTTTCTTGAAATCGTTTAAAGCCATGGATAAAGAACTTCGGTATCACCCTAATGTGGACTGTTTCTGTAGTGGCAGCACTGCTGTTACCATTCTCAAACAGGTAAAACCTGGAGAACAAAAGAAAAAGATCTCTCTTTTTCAGTTTCCTTTGATCTAAGATGATGTCTGTTGATTGACTCTTCAGGGGTCTAATCTCTTCATGGGGAACATTGGAGATTCTCGGGCCATTCTTGGATCAAAAGACAGTAGCGATACTATAGTGGCAACGCAACTAACTGTTGATCTGAAACCGGATTTGCCGAGTATGCTTAACACCTTTTTGCAATCTTCTTCCTTTTCTGGCTTATATGCGTTTGATATGACTGTTTTTGTGGGGATGGATGATAGGGGAAGCTGAGAGGATCAAAAGGTGTAAAGGTCGAGTCTTTGCGTTGCAAGACGAGCCAGAGGTGCCGCGAGTTTGGCTACCTTTTGATGATGCACCTGGTTTGGCTATGGCTAGAGCATTTGGTGATTTCTGTCTGAAAGACTATGGAGTCATCTCGGTACCTGAATTCACTCACCGTGTTCTTACAGACAAAGATCAATTCATTGTTCTTGCCTCAGACGGAGTAAGTAAGCCAAGTGATCTTTATAAGTCTCTGAGCTTCAAGAGAAATGCTTTACTGATGTGTGAGCTTTTGAATTGAACAGGTTTGGGATGTGTTAAGCAACGAAGAAGTGGTTGAGATTGTAGCTTCAGCTACAAGCAGGGCATCAGCAGCTAGGGTTTTGGTGAACTCGGCTGCGCGCGAATGGAAACTGAAGTATCCGACTTCGAAGATGGATGATTGTGCGGTGGTGTGTTTGTTTCTTGACGGGAAAATGGATTCTGAGTCGGATTACGACGAACAGGGCTTCTCTTCAGCAACAAACGCAGTGGAATCAGACGATGGCCAAAGATCTGAACCGTGTCTGCAAAGAAACTTCACAGTTAGGTCATCATCAGATCAAGAAAATGAGAGTTATGGTAATGTGAATACAGAGACTGATGCAGAGGATGAGAAAACTGTAGGAGATCAAAACTGGTTGGGGCTCGAAGGCGTTACACGTGTGAACTCACTTGTTCAGCTTCCGAGATTCTCTGGAGAGAAGTCCAAGACTTGAGAATTTAGCTTCTGAGAATTGATCTTTAAAAAGGTTTAATTTTTCGTTGTTATTTGTGAGTAGCTTGATGTGTTTTTTTCATCTTCTTTGGCTGGTGTTTCGTGTTTGATGTATCTGTATTGCAAAATAGATTTGCCTCATCGATTCTCTCTTGGAATCTATGATTCAAATGTATATACATGTTTTGAGTTTCTGTCTTAAAACATAATATGTGCTTTGATGTTCTTCATCCTCCTATACTTTTGAATCTGCAAGTTTTTAAATTTTGAGCACCAGATGTTGATATTTCCTAGTCCTGTCAAGTATTTGCAGACACGAAGGAGCTTAGAAGGAACACTCTTACCAAACATTCAAATGTTCAAGATTGAGTTTTGAAGACAAACCTCGCTAGAGGGAGTGTTGGAGTTTGTTTCCCCTAATGCTTGCGTCTCTGCTTTTTCATTTGAGTAACTTCAAGAATCCAAAAAATGAAAATCAAGAAACCAGTATTAGCGAAACTAAACTCCTCCTCTTAATGATGGTATGTGCAATATGTTCAAATAGATTGGAAAAATACAGAGAGTAAAGATGAAGGAAGACTCACGTGGACAGTATAGTGACCCAAATGAGTTCAATACAATCCACCCAAAGAAGCCTTTGCTCTACAGGAATTACACCGTATGTAACCAAGTGAGCCAAAGGCCACAGTTTCCAGCCTGCCTGTACACACAAAGTTATGACAAAAAACACATTTAGAAAAAAAAGTTTAAAAACTTTATATGGTGGTGGTCATGAAGACAAAGAGAGCAAGGAGAAATAAATTTACAGTGATCATTGGCCAAAAAGTGGTCTTGATTTCACTGAAAACTGTAGCTGGGGACTCGAAACGCAAAAGCCCTAATAATGTATAGTAAATAGTGTTCCAAATCGCTGACCATACGGTTTGATCAAACGCGATTTTTGCAGGAACTACCCACCATTCTTGATAAGGAAACAGAGCCTAGTGAAAGAAATTGTATCAACTACATGTTATTATTACAGAAAACAAATAAGAGTGTTAGTTACCTCGCAGAATTGGTAGTAATAATGAGAGAGTGAGCCATGGAGAGTGAATCCAACAAGACCTGATCTAAGCACACGGGTTCGATCAAACTCAAACAGCGGTTTCCCTTCGTAACACTGCGTAAAATTTACATCCAGAAATGGTCAGAAAGAAGTTAATTTGAAAAGCTTTTGTGACGGTAAATAGTAATTTTCTTTACCTGTGCAATCCAATCTCCTAGAGAATAGACAATTCCACTGATCGCCATTTTCGCCAAAACCGGGTTTGTTTTGAGAATTTGCTCATAGGCTTCCCAATTGTGTTCAGGTGCATACCTAAGTATCTCGTACAGAGTCCAACCCTAAGAAGAACAGTAACAATCAATTTGCGGTAATCCCAGAAACTGAAGAATCAAATAAATACAGAAACCTTATAAGCTTACCTGCCAATAGTCATGATCGATACTTAACAGCTTCGTAACCGCAACGGTACCGGCGGCGAGGACTATGGCTGCGTTGATTCCTCGACTCACCAGCCGATCGGAATCCTTGTCCCCTTCTTCTTCTTCTGGCTCGAAATTTTCGCTCTTTACATCGATTGCTTCTCTGTCTTCAGTGATCGATCCAACAACGATCAAACTATTTCTCTCTGTAATCAATCGTTTGTGATTCTTTAACCGATTGAGTCTGGGGGATTGATTATGGGTTCTGATTCGTGGAGAGAGCTTATCGGAGACGATGATGGTGGCAGAGCAACAAAGAGCTGCCATGGGGATTTACACTTCTCAAAGGAAGATCCTTTCTCTGTTCTTCTACTCTTTGGCTCTCACCGCCAAATGAGAAAAAATTGGTCGGCTTAAGAACAAAAAAAATGCAGACTTCGGTGACCAGAACGGTAATAATTATGAATATTAACCGAACCGAAGTATGAATTTCGGTTAAATGAACCGATCGGCTGGAATACGTGAAATCAAAACCGGTTTGCAGAATCCTAACGAAAGGCGAAAAAATAGGTCCTACCGAGACCTGAACTCGGGTTACTGGATTCAGAGTCCAATGTCCTGACCACTAGACCATAGGACCATTTGCTACTAGTCACTCCATGCTGGTTTAAGATAGTGACGTAATCAATGACTATTGCCACCGTGTTCGCCGCCGATACGGCAGTTTGGGAAAGGTTCCGATCAAAAAAATTTATAGACGGAAGCTAAATCTGTTACCCTGGAAAAATTTGCCCGTCCGTGTAAGGTGGGGTGGGATGATTCGGTGCTTCGGCCTCTATCGATCTCCGGCACGGATTCGTATCAGTGATTTCTTCGATTTGGTGAAGACGACTCGTGATCCTCAGAGTGAGCCAGATCTCTACCTTCCTCGATGGTTTTCGCTTTTCGGCTTCTACGGAATTTAATCTTAGACGGGTTCTGCTCTAATCTCCTTTATCAATCTCCTGGTCAGTTTTGTTTCGTTTCCCCTGTAATCGGATGATCTTCGCATATTGGTGGATGTATTGGCAGTGCTGGTAGGATTCAGTAGTGGTGAAATTAGAGAAATTGGAGTTTTCTCTTACGATTTTTGTGGCAAATTCTCTGGTTAAGAGTTTTGGAAAGCTTGAGATTGTAGAGGAGGGAAAAAAAGGGATCGAATTTTCTAATGAGCTTAATGTTCATTGATTGAGGTTATTGATAGTTTCAGAATCAGACCATATACTCGCAACAGGCATGATCAAGGGGAATTGTAAGGTAGAGTAGTAGAGACTGTAGAGTAGACCCATAAAGCTATGGAGACTGGAGATTTGGAGCACGATGTGATTGCAATATATGACGATGATCCAGGCATGTTTATGCAGATAGTTTTGATTCCTGTGTAGCTTTAAATCCAGCAAATGGATGAGAATGGACTCTCAGGTTCTGCCTAATACATATAGTTTAGTGACTGTAGACTCTACAATGAGGAAATATTTCGTGAAGGTTACTGAAAACAAGGATTCTCGGCTATCGGCTGGTCTGGTAATGGCTTCTTGAATCAGTTTTCATGTCAATGATTTTAGTAACTTTTCCTCCCACGTTTTTCGTATGGAGCTGTTGATGTTTCTGTTTGTGGTTTATATGGAAATTAACGTGGAGCCTGTTGTCCCTTCCGTTACAAAGCTTGATAAGATGTTTAGGAAAATCATGAACCTCATCAAGATATTGAGGAAACATTCATTGACTTGCAAACCTTGAAAGTTATTTTGTGCAGTTGTGCTTACCTACACGGAATGGAGAGAGAGAAAAAGAGAGTGAAAGAGACTTTTTAGACCCAATCAAAGTGGTGGTGGACCTGTGAAGGTTGAGGCTGAGGGAAGATGTTAAGATCCAGCCTGCCCTCCAAGAAAAAAAATCTTGTGCAACATGTGAACGACTAGTATATAGCATGGTCCTACGTGCTTACCCAGATATACGCAGCCAAAGATATAACCACATTTTAGGAAAAGCTAGAAATTTCCTTTGCTGGGTTGCTCAGACAAGGTATCCATGAGCTCTCTTGGTTTAATTTTGGCTGTATTCGCTGGATTATTGCAGAAAGAAAGCTGAAAGGGATCTAACAAGATGTAGGGGTTTTGGTTTGTAGGAGGCAAGAGGCTATTACGATTCATGGGACCACACTGGATGATATTTGTAATATACATTGTGGTTAAGGTTTGGTGAATTTGGTCCTGGAGCACATGAGACTCTTAGGTCTGTGAAAACTCATTTAAAGCTCCAATAAATGATGATAGAAACTTGTGGACGGTAATTTCCCGTGACATTTATGGAGGTATCTGAGATGTTTTTTCGTATTGAAAAGACATATTAGAAGACCCAAAAAGGTGAGAACAATAATGCACAGAAAAGAAAGAAAAAACTTCAGAGATTTTTATTTGTCTGAAGAAGACAAAGAGGGTGGTCAATGACTAGTGTACTCTCCTATATATTGGGTTAAGACTTGTACTCATTTTGCATCACTGAGAGACAATATTGCCTAATAAGGTAAGGCTAATCTTGGATGGACACTGCAGAAGCTGGGTATGATGATGTTATTGGTTGGTTTGAGCGTGTGTCGGAGAAAGCCTGCAAGGTTCAAAGCCAGACACTGCGCCGGATTCTTGAGCTCAACTCCGGAGTGGAGTACCTGAGGAAATGGCTTGGGACTGCTAATGTAGAGGAGATGGACGATTATAGCTTGGAAACTCTCTTTACTTCCTTGGTGCCTATTGTTTCACATGCTGATTTAGATCCTTATATTCAAAGAATTGCAGATGGAGAGACTTCTCCTTTACTTACTCAAGAACCCATCACTGTTCTCTCCCTCAGGTATATATCTATGTGCATCTTTGGATTTGTGTGTGTGTGATGTCTGCTCTCTCTTGATCCCTTTTGGCTCTTGTTGACACAGCTCTGGAACAACAGAAGGGAGACAAAAGTATGTTCCGTTCACACGCCATAGCTCGCAAACTACTCTACAGATTTTCAGATTATCAGCAGCTTACAGATCAAGGTTTCTATTCATTTCTTGGTTCTTTCTTCACCATTGATATTTTTCTTCATCCGCTCACTAGCTCCTACTATGCGTTTCTTGAAGGGTTTATCCAATAAGGGAAGGTGGGAGGATTCTTGAGTTTATATACGCCGGGAAGGAATTTAAGACGGTAGGAGGATTAACAGTAGGAACGGCCACAACACATTACTATGCGAGCAAAGAATTTAAAACTAAGCAAGAGAAAACAAAGTCCTTCACTTGCAGCCCACAAGAGGTCATCTCGGGAGGTGAGTTCGGGCAGTGCACGTATTGTCATCTCCTGCTTGGTCTCCATTACTCCAGCCAAGTAGAGTTTGTCGCCTCTGCTTTTTCCTACACCATTGTCCAAGCTTTCTCCTTTTTCGAAGAAACCTGGAGAGAGATATGTGCTGACATCAAAGAAGGCAATCTCAGCTCAAGAATCACTCTGCCTAAGATGAGAAAAGCTGTGTTGGCTCTCATCAGACCAAACCCGTCTCTTGCCTCTCAAATCGAGGAGATCTGCACAGAGCTGGAATCAAATCTCGGATGGTTCGGTTTGGTTCCGAAGCTATGGCCCAATGCAAAATACATCTCCTCAATCATGACTGGTTCCATGTTACCGTACCTGAAGAAGCTGAGGCATTACGGTGGCGGTTTGCCTCTGGTGTGCGCCGATTATGGGTCAACGGAGAGCTGGATCGGCGTGAACGTTGATCCTCATCTTCCTCCAGAAGACGTGAGCTTTGCTGTTATTCCCACTTTTAGCTACTTTGAGTTTATACCACTCTACAGACGGCAGAATCAACAAGACGGTGACTTTATCGAAGAAAAACCTGTTCCGCTCTCTCAAGTCAAACTCGGGCAAGAGTACGAGCTTGTTCTTACCACTTTCACAGGTAAAGAAAGACCTTCACTGCATTTTCCATAGTCAAGTAACGAGCTTTTGGGCCTCATCGCTTCTCTGTTTCATCACTTCCTCTGTTTCACTACTTCTCTGTTTCATCACTTCCTCTGTTTCATCGCTTGCTCTGTTTTATTGTGCTCTGTTCAGGTCTTTACAGGTACAGATTAGGGGACGTCGTTGAAGTGACCGGTTTTCACAAAGGAACACCGAAGCTAAGTTTCATATACAGAAGGAAACTCATCTTAACCATCAACATTGACAAGAACACAGAGAAGGATCTTCAGAGAGTGGTCGACAAGGCATCTCAGCTTCTGAGCCAAACCACAAAAGCCGAAGTCGTTGACTTTACGAGCCACGCAGACGTTACAGCTAGTCCCGGTCGCTACATAATCTACTGGGAAATCAGAGGAGAAGCGGAGGACAACGCTCTTGAAGAATGTTGCAGAGAGATGGATGCTGGTTTTGTGGACTATGGTTACATTGTGTCGAGGCGCATGAACTCTATCGGGCCGCTCGAGCTACGAGTCGTGGAACGAGGCACGTTTGGGAAAGTAGCGGAAAAGTGCGTTGGGAAATGTGGTGGCTTGAACCAGTTTAAGACTCCGAGGTGTACGACCAACTCGGTTATGCTTAACATTCTTGATGACTCTACTGTTAAGAAGTTTCGCAGTTCGGCTTATGACTAGAAAACCAGATTTTAAATGTATGTTTTTGTCTCCGTGATTGTGTTAGTGTACTCAGACTTGACCATTTACAAGCAGGAATAAAAGAATAAATGTTAATCGTTTCGTTGAAATATTAGTATGTTTTATTTGAAAGACTTCACTTCTGTTACTTGAGACCATAGAGACGATAAAATCAGTTTAAAACGTAACTCAACGTTTTTTTGTTTTTTATCTAAAACCATAAAGAGATTAGATATCCATTTGAAACGTACTACGCCTTATTTTTTGTGTGACAAAATAGACCGTCGTCGTTTTCTTGAATTTGGGGTTAACTTGTCGACTGTGAGAGTTGAGGGATAGTCGGATAGATCATGTAATTTGATTAATAACTAGGTGATTGGCGTGTCGGGCACAATATTTTTCAAAAACATTAATTAATTAAAGATTTTAATAACGTAATTAGTAAAATATGATTATGTCTTTTTCATTCTTCTACAAAATCTTCTTCATTCGCATAGAGAGATAAAAAAAAAAATTCACTTCTTTCTTCTCCCTTTTATTCTTCTCCAATTATTCCATCTTCTTATTTTTCTTTCAATTTCATATTCGTTCTCATCATCTTTTTCTTTTATTTTCATATCCTCCAACTCACTATTCGTCTTTTACTTTCTAATTTTCTTTACATTATTTTTTTTCGGTTTTTCTTCTTCATTATTCCCCTCTCTCTATCTTTATCATCTTCTCTTACATCACATTATTATAGTTTTATTTATTTCTTCTTTTATTTTATTTTTCTCTTTATATTCTATTTTTTATCCTATTTTTTTCTTGTTTGATTTCTTTTTTTCTCATATTCGAGTTTATTCCTTCTTCTTTCTATATTTTTCTTTCAATTTTTGGTCTTTATCTTTTCTTGCGTCTTCATATCCTCCAACTCACTATTCTTCTTGTACTTTCTAATTTTCTTTACATTTTTTTTAGTTTTTCTTCTTCATCATTCCCCTTTCTCTATCCTTAATTTTTTATCATCTTCGCCTTCTCTTACATCATATTATCTCTTCTTTATCTTTGTTTTTATCTTTACATTCCATTTTTTTTTGTTTGATTTTTTTTTTCTCTTGTTCGAGTTTTCTTCTTCTTTTACAAATTTTCCATTTTTTTTTTCACTATGTTCTTTTATTTTACTCGTGTTTTTATTCTTTCATGTCTATGTTTTGTTTTTCATTCGATAGTTTAGATTTTCAAGGATTTTTGAAATAGTTTCTATCTTTATATAGTCGAGATATTTTAAAAAAATATTGGTTTTTTATCTTTCAATTTTGAATTTTCTTTAATTGTTTTAATTTTTTTATTTGTCAATGTACTTTGGAAAAGCAGATATAAAGTTAGAATAAATTATTTCTAATTTTGATATTCTTCTGTAATCATTTAAAATTTTAAAAATGCACCAAAAACTAAACCCTACAGCTATCAATATAAACCCTACACCCTAAAACCAAACCCCACACTATAACATTAAAACTCACCAATATAAACTCTACACCATAAACCCAAACACACCATAACAATAACCATATTTTTCGGTTTTTCTTCTTCATCATTCTCCCTCTCTCTATCTTTATCATCTTCGTTCTCTTTCATCATATTATTATAGTTATATTTATCTCTTCTTTATCTTTTTTTATTTCTCTTTACATTCCATTTTTTCTTGTTTGATTTATTTTTTCCTCATATTCGAGTTTTTTCCTTCTTCTTTCTATCTTTTTATTTTTCTTCTTTTTCTTTCAATTTTTGTTCTTTATCTTTTCTTGCGTCTTCATATCCTCCAACTCACTATTGTTCTTGAACTTTTTAATTTTCTTTACATTTTGTTTTCAGTTTTCTTCTTCATCATTCCCCCTCTTTCTATCTTTATCATCTTCGCCTTCTCTTACATCATATTATTCTAGTTTTATTTATCTCTTCTTTATCTTTGTTTTTATCTTTACATTCCATTTTTTCTTATTTGGTTTCTTTTTTCTCTTGTTCGAGTTTTCTTCTTCTTCTCCAAATTTTCCATCTTTTTTCACCATGTTCTTTTATTTTACTCGTGTTTTTATTCGTTCTTGTCTACGTTTTGTATTTCACCTATCAATTCATTCGATAGTTTAGATTTTCAAGGATTTGTGAAATAATTTTTATCTTTATATAGTCGAAATCTTTTAAAAAAATAGGATCGCCAGTCTGTTATAGATCTCCATATCAGCCATCTCTCACTTTTCATCATAAATGATCCGCTTGCCTCGAAATGACAAGTCTATCGCCACGCCGACCATCAAATACGAGATTGGGCCCCTTCTCAACGATTTGATGGATCTACCTGCTCGAACTCTTACTATTATCTAAACAACCCCTTCTATGGGCGGATGTGCTGTGTCATGTGTTACCTGCTTCCCGGGAATCTGGTAGCCTTTGCTTATTAATAGATAATGGGTTTTGGCGACAGTTTTGGTCGCAGAGGATTGCACGAGTTTGTCGGGTGTTGACTCTCCCTACCTCACTTCCTCTCGGTGAAATCTTTATTAAGAAATCGCTATTTCCCCCAAACCGCTAGTTTTCATACGACTCAGAACTTTTTATTGGTTTTTTTTTATCTTTCGATTTTGAATTTGCTTTATTTGTTTTGTTTTATTTTATTTTTATTTGTGAATGTAATTTGAAAAGGCTGAGATTAATTTATAATAAATTATATTTAATTTTGATATTCTTCCGTAATAATTCAAAATTTTAAAAATGCACCAAAAACTAAACCTTACACCTATCAATATAAACCCTACACCCTAAACTCAAACCCCTCACTATAACACTAAACCCATCAATATAAACCTTACACCATAAACCCAAACACACTTTAACATTAACCATATTTTTTGGTTTTTCTTCTTCATCATTCCCCGTCTCTCTATCTTTATCATCTTCGTTTTCGTCTTACATCATATTTTTATAGTTTTATTTATCTCTTTTCTCTCTTTTTTTTTTCTCTTTACATTCCATTTTTTCTTGTTTGATTTTTTTTTCTCATATTCGAGTTTTTTCCTTCTTCTTTCTATCTTTTTCTTCTTCTTCTTTTTCTTTCAATTTTTGTTCTTTATCTTTTCTTGTGTCTTCATATCCTTTAATTCACTATTCTTCTTGAACTTTCTAATTTTCTTTATATTTTTTTTTTCAGTTTTTCTTCTTCATCATTCCCCTCTCTCTATCTTTATCATCTTCGTCTTCTCTTACATCATATTATTATAATTTTATTTATCTCTTCTTTATCTTTTTGTTTCTTTACATTCCATTTTTTTCTTGTTTGATTTTTTTTTTCTCATGTTCGAGTTTTCTTCTTCTTCTCCAAATTTTCCATCTTTTTCTTAACCATGTTATTTTATTTTACTCGTCTTTTTATTTGTTGTTGTCTACGTTTTTCATTTCACCTATCAATTCATTCGATAGTTTAGATTTTCAAGGATTTGTTAAATACTCCCTCTGTCCCATATCATAAGCAGTTTGGCAAAATGTATCTGCAATTATATGGATGTATATGGACTCAAAACACATCCAGATACATCCAGATAATTGCAGATACATTTTGCCAAACAGCTCATAATATGGGATAGAGGGAGTAGTTTTTATCTTTATATAGTCGAGATCTTTCAAAAAATATTGGTTTTTTATCTTTCGATTATGAATTTGCTTTAATTGTTTAAATGTTTTTCTTTGTGAATGTAATTTGGAAAGGCAAATATAAATTTATAATAAATTATTTTTAATTTTGATATTCTTCCGTAATAATTCAAAATTTTTAAAATATACCAAAAACTAAACCCTACACCCTAAACCCAAACCCCACACTATAACATTAAACCCATTAATATAAATCCTACACAATAAACCCAAACACACTGTAACAATAATCACATTTTTTCGGTTTATCTTCTTCATCATTCCCCCTCTCTTTATCTTTATCATCTTCGTCTTCTCTTACATCATATTATTATAGTTTTATTTATCTCTTCTTTATCTTTTTTTTTTTCTCTTTTCATTCCAGTTTTTCTTGTTTGATTTCTTTTTTCTCCTATTCGAGTTTTTTCCTTCTTCTTTCTATCTTTTTCTTCTTCTTCTTTTTTCTTTCAATTTTTGTTCTTTATCTTTTATTGTGTCCTCATATCCTCCAACTCACTATTCTTTTTGAACTTTCTAATTTTCTTTATATTTTTTTCGGTTTTTCTTCTTCATCATTCATCATCTCTCTATCTTTATCATCTTCGCCTTCTCTTACATCATATTAATCTATTTCATTTGTCTCTTCTTTATCCTTTTTTCTCTTTCATTCCATTTTTTCTTGTTTGATTTCTTTTTTCTCATGTTTGAGTTTTCTTCTTCTTCTCAAAATTTTCCATCTTTTTTTTGCGAGGTTATTTATTTTACTCATGTTTTTATTCGTTCTTTTCTACGTTTTGTATTTCACCTATCAATTCATTCGATAGTTTAGATTTTCAAGGATTTGTGAAATATTTTTTATCTTTATATAGTCGAGATCTTTTAAAAAATATTGGTTTTTTATCTTTCGATTCTGAATTTTCTTTAGTTGTTTTAATTATTTTATTTGTGAACGTAATTTAGAAAGACAGATATAAATTTATAATAAATTATTTTAAATTTTGATATTCTTCCGTAATAATTCAAAATTTTTAAAATGCACTAAAAACTAAACCCTACAACTATAAATATAAACCCTACACCCTAAACTCAAACCCCACACCATAACACAAAACCCATAAATATAAACCCTACACCATAGACCCAAACACACCGTAACACTACTCCCCCCCCCAAAAAAAAACCACCCACCTAAATCCCACATTTTATAAATTGGATATAGATTTGTTTTTATTTTTTATCTTTTTCTCGAAAGAATTTTGTTTTCTTGTTTTTAATCGGTAATGTAGTGTATTCAAAATAATTTTAATGAATGAAAAGGTAAACCTTACACCAAT